AACCAAAGGATAAACAAGTGAGTATGCTCATAAACAAGCTGAGTATCTCATGCTCTTAAGGAACTGTAGAAAATGACTGCCTACTGAATTTTCTTATAAAATTTTTGACTCGTAACAAAGTGATAATATCTTGACTTGAATTACTTTTTTTGAAAAGTTCAGCACATTGAACTAAGCTTGCTTTTACATTTTAAAGACTGTTGTTTTACCCCTCCTATAAAATGCAGACGTCGTATCCTAAGGTCGTATCACGGCCAGTTATCGCGTGTAAAAATAGTACATGATTTTGACTCTTTGCAAAAGTAGATAAACTTTTTAATGAAAATATTTCGGTTTGATATTGAGCTTTCCCTGGTTTTAAAAAGAAAATAGTTTTCTCAGTTGGAATTCGAGCAGTGAGTAGTACGAGTAAGTCCACATATGTTATACTTATTTATACCGATTGAAAAATATTTTTACTTATATTATAGCCATTACAGCCTCAGAGATGAAGCGTACTCATGCATATTTTTACGATTACAACTTTTACAACTTTTTGACTCGTTATATCTCAGAAACTCTATCTCTTTAAACAATTACACGCACTTTCAGCTTGTTGTAAATTTATGTACCTTTACTCTTATTTTTTAGTTTAATTTGACCGGACTATAGTTAATGAATCGCCACATATTTCGAGGAATAGCAGTAATGATTCTGTCTTTCTCCTGAAGATTACACAATTAATATCTCCAAGAAAATCTTCCACGTATTTCTAGGATAGTATACAGGGTGATTCAGGGCCATGTCACGTTAGACGTTTATGGAGAACAATTGTTTTTTTTTTAATATTTGGATTTTTGAAATCTCTCTAAATTATTTTCAGCATTGCAGTGTTGCCGATTCATACTAAACGTGGTAGCATCTTTATTCTTAAGTATTAAAGTTAAAAAAATCAAAAGTTAGTAAGTTAATAAGTTTACTACTAAGGTTTTACTCAGAACCAATAAAGCCAGTTACATACTTTGACTCGAGCTTTCACTATTTGTCTAATATTTTCAGATGTTTCTTTTGCATAATATGAATGGTCCAGAGGAAAAACATGATGACCATCAATTTCTTAATTTTCGAGTTTTACAACATTATAGTATAGGTCTAACTGGTCCCTACAAAATGTATAAACTCTGTAAGGTAATAAGCTGTTAAATCCCATGATATATGCCCAGTAAAAATGTACATACAGGGAAAGAACCTGATAATCACCAGTCTTCCACGGCTCTCCTGTAAAATTAAAATGACGCTTCTCCTGATTTATCCTGGACCCTTCATATGCAATAGTCAAGAGAGGGGGAACATCTTTCTCAGGCACATCTCACAAATTAAATGAGTTAAATGAGTAAAATATGTATAATTGTAAATGTAATCAAATGCGAATTCTATGAAAAATTATAATAATAAAAATAATATGCACAGCCGAAACTGCTTGACATAGAAACACGAAATTTGGCAAATGCGTTCCTTAAGTGACGTATGTGAGCACTAAGAAGGAATTTTTGGAAATTCGGCCGCTAAGGGGCTGAAATTAGGGGGTTAATAGTGTAGGTGTAAAAGTTTTTAAATCTATCCTACATATAAATCTGTTTTATAATGCACAGCCGAAACTGCTTGACACATAAACACGAAATTTGGTAAATGCGTTCCTTAAGTGATGTATGTGTGCACTAAGAAGGAATTTTTGGAAATTCGGCCGCTAAGGGGCTGAAATTAGGGGGTTAATAGTATAGGTATAAGTGTTTAAATCTATCCTACATATAAATCTGTTTTATAATGCACAGCCGAAACTGCTTGACATAGAAACACGAAATTTGGCAAATGCGTTCCTTAAGTGACGTATGTGAGCACTAAGAAGGAATTTTTGGAAATTCGGCCGCTAAGGGGCTGAAATTAGGGGGTTAATACTGTAGGTATAAAAGTTTTTAATATGTCCTACATATAAATCTGTTCTATAATTCACAGCCGAAACTGCTTGACATAGAAACACGAAATTTGGCAAATGTGTTCCTTAAGTGATGTAAGTGAGCACTAAGAAGGGATTGTGGGAAAAGGGGTTGAAATTAGGGATAGAAGGCTGCATAAAAAGTTGTTAAAATCTGTTCTAGGAGTACGAAATTTTGCACAGAGGTCTCTTAAGCGGCGTAATTGAACACTAAGAAGCGATTTTGGGAAATTCAACCTTTTAGGGGGCGAAACTACCGAAACTAGGGGTGGAAGTTTGGTTTGGTTTGGTTTTGTTTGTAGATTTTTTTAAATTTGTCGTAGGAGTATAAAATTTTTTGCAGAGATTCTTGTGACGAAAGTGGATACCTACTCGATTTTTGGAAATTTATCCCCTACGAGGATAAAGTTGGGGCGAAAGTTTGTAAAAAAAATGTTAAAATCGCTTCTAAAAGTATGACATTTTGCACAGAGGTTTCTTGGGTGACATAATTCAGCACTGAGGAGGGATTTCTGGAATTTCATACATAAATGGGGGGTAAAACTAGTGGTAAAATTCTCTATATATTTTTTTAAAATTATTCGTAGGGGTATGATATTTTGTATAGAGTTTTCTTAAGTGGCAAAAGTGAGTACTTAGAAGCGATTTTTTTGGAAACTCACCTCCTAAGAGGGTGAAATAAGGGGTGAAAGTTGTCTCAAAAATTTGTTAAAATGGGTTTTAGAAGTATGAAATTTTGCGTAGAAGTTCCTTAGGTAACGTAAAATGAAAAACGTAGGTACTAAGAATCTGTTTTTCAAAATATGTTAAGCAGGTGAAATTACACACAAAGGTTGACAGCAGTTGACAACATTGGCAGCAGTACCAAAATCAGTAAAAAGTAATCATAGTAATCCAAGTAACGAATATTTGAAATGATTACTTAGTACTCGAGTAACTATTAGTAACGAGTAATCAAAAGTAACGAAAATCTACATCACTACTTAGAAAGTAATAGATATATAATTTAGGCTTTACGCCAGATAAGAAATTCGAGAAATGTTCGTGTATAAATCCCAAATCAGATGACAAATCGTTTCCGGAATAAATAGAATTAATTAAATAATGAAAAAAATTAAATTATTTTTTCTTAGGAAGAAGCATTAAATTTGATGGCTCAAATGCTCATTTTGGTGTGCACTTATTGGCGAACCGCCATTAATCTCGTATATAAGTTGTGTAGTTTTTTGTTTAAGTTTGGTTTAAGTCTTGATAACTTGATAAAACTCTTCGAAATTTAGTCAGCTTAACTTTGAGTTAGTTATTACAAAAAAAAATTAAAAAAGTACGATAAATGTACACTGTAAAAAATCAGCCTGAGTGAACACATATTTCTCAGGGAGTGAATTTTTTGAGTGAAATAATTGAGTACATTTTTATCTAAAATAGAGTAAATTCATCATTTTACTCAAATATGATCTCTATTTAATCAATAGCTATTGAATAAGCTCATGTTCGAGTTATAACCCCTATCTTTGAGTAATGGAATAGAAAAATTCACTTAAAAACTCATGTTATAGTTTTACACAATAAAAATTTGAGTTAAATCACCCAGTTTAGAGTATTTTCGCTCATTACTAATCATACGTCATACGCGCTTCTTCGATACCGAATAAGCTATTTCCCTGTTCCTCAGTTTTTAATTATCTGTTCGAGTCGTTCGAATCAGGTTGTCTTGTCCTACAAATAGGTTGTCTTGTTCCTTCGAAGGTGCCCAGGTTACAAGTCCATAGTGTATGTGTGTGTGATGTAAAGTGTGACAGTGGCCGCGTGGCGTGGTGAAGCGAATACGAACTCATAACTCCTAAGTATGTTTTATGTTAAGAACATTTTTTTTCACATCGCAGAAATCCGCCCAACATATATTCAAATTCTACTGCATCTACTGATTGCCGCAATGCTCGGATGTTTCCTGGACTAATTAGCGTAGCGAAAATCTAGGTACTTTCCCTCAATCTGGAACTGGGAACTGGAACATTTGGCAGAATAACATTTTTTTTTAATTTTCAGGAGGAAAAGTATCTGGATTTTCCGGAGGATTTCGTTATTAAAAGTTAGTTTAGAAATTAGAAATATTCGAGAATGTTGGTAGCCGAGCTGACGAATGCTCTTAATAAAGCGGATTTTTGCGATGTGATGCAACTTTTCTAGACATCTAGCTTAAAAAGTTCCTGTATTTTTTCCAAAAAGAGTTGAAAACTTTTTAAAATGTTTTTGATATTATAATAATAGTGTTATATTTGGTTTTATTTGTTTTTTTGTCAAATAAAAATGACAAATAAAAATATTTTTGAAGGTTCTACAGTTTTTTATTTGGTTTGTTAAAAAAAACGAAATATTCTAAATGATTTTTTTAAAAGCTATGTAAGCTAACTTGTTATTTTATTACAAGTGACCAGATGCCTCCCAAAAGTGAATTTTAGGAAATGGACATGTTCGAGACCATGTCCTAAACTGAAACTTACCTTTGAAAGGCACCTGCCCACCTGTTATAAAATAACAAGTTAGCTTACATATAGCTTTTAAAAAAATAATTTAGAATATATTTCTCAATACTGAGTGAAATTAATACTCAGATATGAGTACTAATCGAGTTAAGTGTAACACAAATTTGAGTAAAAGTCACTCAATAAAAGGTGTCTTGAACTCAACACTTAGTGAGTTCACTCATTTTAAAGTGAATAAATTATCAAAATCGATCAAAATCCTACTCAAGGTAAACAATATGAGTAAAAAAGGAGTCTTTCGTCTAATCTCGATTGAGTGAAAACACTCAGTGCTTTTCACTCTGAGAATTGAAGATTCACTCGGTTCTGTAGAGTGGAAATTTCACTCAATCGGGTGTGGACAGAAATTGAGAAAGTATTGAGTGAAATCTGAGTGAAATTTCACTCATTTTTTTTTACAGTGTATACTGCACAAATCTGTACATTCTCTTAAGTACCAGTTAAATCTCAAGTTACTATCTTATCGTATTGCCCATTATAAATATTTTACTTATATACACATGCACGGTTAGTGTTGATCAGTTGAGTCAGACTCTAGGTAGATACCGATAATACTATACTACGCTCTTCCCTACAAAATATTCAAAAATCATAATATAAAAACAAGTTGTATTCTATCTGTATTTATACTATGCCAGAACTAAAGTAAAGACAATCGGTGCATAATCTACGAGGATCCCTCAAACAGTTGAAGATGTTGAGTTACGATCCAAACCGGGATGAGTATATCGAGGTTGATTTTGATGAGTTTTCAGACAGTGATGATGATGTAGATGATCTGAATCCGACAGATACAGTGAGGTCACTGCAACCTCTTTTAGTGCTTATGAAGCACAGGAAAAGAAGGTAAGTAGCAATATTTTTGCAAGGCTTTATATATTTTAACAAAAATATGGATTTTTAAAAATCCCTAAACAATATAAGTAAGAATTTTAGTCTAAATATTCTTTAAATTGTTTGTAAACAGTAAAATGGTACAATAACCACTTAAAATCTCAAGATACTAAATTGACTACAAGTATGTATGTCAATGTTTCAAGCATAATATATTTTCGATCCAAAATGTTTTCTAGTTTATTACGTGGTACCTAATACTGAAAAGATTACTAATATTAGAAATACCTATATAATACGCACCTTCTAATTATTAATTTATGTTAATATTTATATTAACATTACTATTACTATTTATGTTAATATTTATATTAAGTAAACAATATTTTACAATATTTACTTTTACTTTTACTATCAACAATAAAACTATGAATAAAGCAAATTGTAACATAACTCGGAGATATAATCTGTGATAAAAAATCTATTGAACCAATAAGGAAGCTACTTAATTCTGATACGATATATTTTCATTGATTAGTTACCAGGATATACAAAATTTGACATATTATTATGAACCTAGTAATTACGTGAGATACCGTATAATCGAAAAAAAAACGGCGTCGGCGATGGCTATGAAATGAAGATCGCTGTCATTTTATATGGAAAATGTCATCGATGTTCAGTTCATAGCCATCGCTGACGCCGTTTTTATTCGATCATACGGTATTTTATTTTATTTATTCATTTCATATTTTTATATTAAAAAAATAGGAGAAATTTTTAGGTTTTGCAATAGAGAATTTAATGAAGCAAAAAGCATCTATGTCTTCTAGTGAGATATAGTTCATATCAAATAAACTTTTAGTCACGTGATTAAGCTTGACCGGCACAGAGTTGCCCACTTAAAACATTATAATAAAGTTGCGATGATTATTTTGCAGCGCCTATTAAGCTATCTTGTACACCAACTGCAAGGTCTGCTAGTAACAATTTTTAAGCTTAATGTATCGCAACATAATTCATTTAAACCAAAACTCGTAATATAAAACTAAAATGTCCATTCAAAACGAATGACAATGTCAGGAAATAAATAACTAAATGTGCCAACTTGACTTTTTTTACAGCAGAGCTACCACCTGAATCCCCTGTCGGAAATTTAAATTCCAGTTAGTCAGCCCAGCGCCTAATAAGTCCATGGTTGGCAACAATGAATTTAAAAATTGCACTTTCGATTTTGCAATGAAAAGTTTCAAATATAGTTTCTTTACCCAGTTTATGCTTTATGAATTGGTTAAATAGAAAAAATGTGGTTCGTTTCCTGAATAACCTAAATAAAATTAAATAATCTAAATATAATTGTAAAAAGATAACAAATATTTTTCAAAAACGTAAAACAACTCAATAAAAAGCAGCAGGGTGAAAAAAATGTCAAATATTATTTCAATGTTAAGCCTACATCCACAATCCACACTTTATTACTCCTTCGAATAACACACACTGTAAAATACGGTTTTCTTTTTCTTTTCTATTATTATATTGTCCGTTTTCACGCCTTTTTGACTTTTCATTATACAACGATATTTTTTGTCACCCTAGAGATTGGAAAGGATTTTTTATACGATTATCCAGAAAAAATAGTGGATTTGGTATAGAAAAAAAAATGAAGAAGGAAGTTATTTTATAAGAACTGGACATCCAATTTTGTCATGTCACAGCTTCAGCTTAAAAAAAACAAATATTTAACTTCTTTAGGAAATTAAAGAAAATATTTTTTAAATAATTATATTCCCAATAAAAGATTTACAAACGTATGTACTTCGGTAAATTATTAATAATGTACTTTTAAACTTATAACTATACAGGGTGTGCCCCCAATATTCCGTGAATATAGAACTACTATACGTATACTTTTGGAATCAAAATAAATTAAGTGAACACAATTTACTTCTATTATAGATTTGAAAGTGATTCGTTTGTCCGTTAGAGCGGAACAATCAAAGATAAACCCAAGCGCCAACTTTAGTCCTTATGCAAGCTTCTATCCGCGCTCGCATGCTTCTTATTAAATTATCAACGTTGTGTTGAGGTATGTTTTCTCATTCTGCTAATGCTGCATCAATTAGCTATACCAGATTTCCTGGATTGTTTCGACGAGCTCTAACCTTTCTTTTGAGCTGGTCCCACAAGTGTTCAATAGGGTTTAGATCTGGTGAACATGCAGGCCACTCCAAAACTATGACACCTTTCGTTTCAAGACATTCTCTAGCCCTCTGCTGGTATGGAGAGATGCGTTATTGTGCATGAAGTTAAAATTATCCCCAATTGCAGCTCTCTAAAGCTTAGCGATTGGTTCTAGCAATAAATCAACATACCTATCTCCGATCCGTTAAAATCTATTGAAGTAGTAACAATATAGTTTTTACTCCTAGCATAATACCTCCCCAGAACATTACAGTTCCTCCTTTATATCTTGGTACAGGTTTGGCAGCTCGTCTTCCTGGAGCTCTAAGAACCCGAATTCTCGATGGTCATCTGATCTTAGGGCAATAATTTTGTCTCATCCGAAAAAAGAACATTTTGCCAATTCTCAGTTGTCCAGTTTTGATGTTAAAGGCACCAATTTAGGCGCTCATTTTATTTTACCGATATAACAGACCCGTAACTCTCTCCTACTGTACAACCCACGAGCATGTAGCCCGTGTGTACAACCCACGTTCACACCTGTAGCTGCCAGAGGTTGTCTTTCTAGCTCTAGGTGAGAGACACTGGATTTTCTTCTAGCAAGTTGGCACACAAACCAGTCCTGTTGTTCAGTTGTGACTCTTTGTCGAGTTTGTCTGGGCGTGTTCTTGAGAGTTCATAGTTCCAAGTACCTTGCATGTATTCGATGCAACAGCCTGGATAACGCCTACTATCTCTGCTACGTCTCTTTGAGGGATTCCTTGTGCAATGAGAGCAATAATTCTTCTCTTCTGTACATGTGTTAAGCCAAAGTAAGGCATTTTTTTATTTTTGAATCCTATCAAAATTACCGGACAATCGTGATTTTACTACAGAATCGCAGCAGTCGTTTGGTTTGGGTTATGGTTCTTTATTATCATGTTTATATTTACAACAAAAAAACCTTATCTTTAAGTTGTATCCAAGTCTACGTGTATACCAATTTTATTCCTTGCAAAAAGTTCAAGTTTCTCAGTCAGAAATAAAGGGTGATTCCATAATACAAGTTTGGTTCTGTAAAAAAAATAATTCTGCTAAAATTTATGTAGGGCGGGGGTAGTTTTTGCTCTTCCCGCATCCTTTTTGTATTTTGTCAAGTCAAAGGTTATAGCGCTCAACAAACCTAGACATCCCAAATCTTCTTTGAACCGGAATATCGGTTAAAATACGTGTTTATTTTTTTTAAATTGGTGACCTCTAACGAACAAAGCACTGTATAGAAGTATATTTTGTTCAATTAACTTATTTTGATTTCAAAAATATAATCCTATAGTCCCAATGTACACCCTATGACAGTCATTGTCAAAAAATGTTCAGTTGTTATGATCTCTCATCGCCAATAATTGTATTGTAAAAAAAAATAATTATTTAAAATTTGATTGAAAAAAACCTGTACATAAAACTGTACATACACACATATCTCTACACTACACTTTATAACATGTTCTATATGTAATACTCCTTTTGCCAGGAAATATCGTACAAGTCTGCTAAACCGCCTCTATCTAAGCCGCATCGTTCGAAAATCAGGCCGACTCAATACCTTCCTCACAAAGTTACCCAACAAAAACTTATCTTACATCAGAGACCTGGGCAACACAATACTCACCCTCAGGTGGCGCTGGATGCTACTAACCCTTTGCTTGGTCAACTTTGGCTGCTTCGTCGTGTTTAGCTGGCTGTGGATGTTGCTGGCCCAGGTCAGCGGTGATTTTGACAATTCAACAGTGTCAGACACACCCTGCATAGTAAACGCCAGAACCATGACAGGTATTTATTTTTTTTTATTTGGGCAAATTTAATAATAAAATTATATGTATATTTATTTTTAGGATATCTTCTTCTAAGTATAGAGACGATGACAACCATAGGTTACGGATATAGGTATCCTAGTGAACACTGTATAGGTGGATGGTTTCTTCTAATGATGCAGGCGATCTTTAACACTTTTGTCCAGGGCGCCTTGGTTAGTGCTGTCTATGCCAAGACCTCCAAACCATTTACAAAAGCCTCGTCATTGTTTAGTAAAAGAGCAGTGGTAAGAAATGAAACGTTTTAGAAACGACTTAGAAAAAATATACAGGGTGACTTAGTATTGCAAAAAAATGTACCAAAGTACGACATACATACCACGTGCGTCTCGAAAGTGGCTCTAATTTTTTTAAAAATGTCCGATTAAATGAATATCTCCGAAACTAAAGTTCCAAAAAAATTCGTAATATATCTACAAATTCATTTACCCACTAGTAGTTATAAAAAGCATTTTTGGTAAACTCTGTCTCTAATAGTTTCTGAAAAATAAAATTAATTTTTTTAAAAATGTCCGATTAAATGAATATCTCCGAAACTAAAGTTCCAAAAAAATTCGTAATATATCTACAAATTCATTTACCCACTAGTAGTTATAAAAAGCATTTTTGGTAAACTCTGTCTCATATAGTTTCTGAAAAATAAAATTATTTTTTTTAAAAATGTCCGATTAAATGTATATCTCCGAAACTAAAGTTCCAAAAAAATTCGTAATATATCTAGAAATTCATTTACCCACTAGTAGTTATAAAAAGCATTTTTGATAAACACTATCCCTAATAGTTTCTGAAAAATAAAATTATTTTTTTTAAAAATGTCCGATTAAATGAATATCTCCGAAACTAAAGTTCCAAGAAAAGTCGTAATATATCTACAAATTCATTTACCCACTAGTAGTTATCTCTATAACTTTATCTATTATCTCTATAACTTATTTATTTTTTCAGATAAAAAAAACGAGATTTGGTATGTTAGTATATGACATTTCACCAGAAATGACTACAACTTTTCATTTTTAAATGGCACCTGCGGTATATTTCTACTTTATTCGGTAGAAAATGACACTCTAAATGGGATGACATATCATATGTCAACTTATGATATTCTTGCATATGGTTTATTTCAAATTGTTACATGCGGTTCATAATGACAATTTGACTCGAAATACCAAGTGTGTGGTACCAATTATTCGTAAAAAAATGTTTTTTCCAAATATGATAATGAGCCACCCTTGTTTCTTTTGAAAAAATTGAGATATGATTAAAAATATGATTTGGGCATCTTTTAACCGGCCAGGACAAGACACGAAAAACATTAAACGGTCAAATCTATTTTTCCCAGGCTCCTTGATTAAAAATTAGTGTTTTTAACACAGCCACGCTAGAGTGCCGTGAATGAATGATCGAAATTTAAAATACGATATTTTTTTAAGCGAAAATGTCAAAAGTTGACATATGTTAGTCATTCTATTAAGAGAGTTATTTTTTATCGAATAAACTAAAAGTATACCGAGGGTGCCATTTAAAAATCGAAAAGTTGTAGTCATTGTCGGTGAAACGGGAAGTGACCAAAAACAATTACATACGTCAATCAATCCTAATTTATGTCATAAACTAACAATAATCTCAAATTTACTTCCAAACTCATACTAGGGTAGTGGTGAAGAAGTACGTTAAAAAATATAATTAACTACTTGATCTTTTTTGAAAAATGTATATCTCTTAAGAACAAAACCTCTACTTTAAGAAATAATTAATTTATATCGTATTTTAAGAGATCTATTTGAAACGAAATATACTCAGCTAATACTTAACGAAAATAAAAGAAACAATAATAAAAATAGTACAATTTTGTAATATAAGTTCGAATCTATTTTAAGACGTGTTATATTGTTACATCGTTTATGAGACGTTCTATTGTACCTCATTTCGATATTCTCGTCCAGGTATGTCTGCGAGACGGAAAATTGTGTTTCATTTTCCGAATACACGACTTTTCGAAGAAGATATGGTGCGGCACCAATATCTCACTCTATTTTATCGACAAGGAACAAACCGACTTGGACGGCGACTTCGAAATGCAACAGATGACGATCGAACCGCACGGCCTACTTATTTTTCCTTTGGAAATAGAACATGTCATTGAGGAAAACAGCCCGCTTTGGAAATTCAGGCCGTTTGAGTTCCTGCATGGAAGGTCCGTAAGGAAACTTTAACTTATTGTAATGTTATACATGTATAATATAGATTACATTCTGATCGCTCAGTAAGTTTAGTCTTTAGTCTTTACTGTTTTAATCTATACAAATAACAATACATATGTATATATATTTGATATCAATTAAACTTTTAGTTACGTATTCGAGGGCGCAATTTTTAAATTCATTGTTGCCAACCTTGGACATATTTGGTGCCGGGCTGACTAACTGGAACTTAAATTTCGCCTTGGGGATTCAGGTGGTAGCTCTGCTGTAAAAAAATGTCAAGTTGCCACATTTATTTATTTATTTCCTGACATTGTCATTCGTTTTGACACTTTAGTTTTGTATTACAAGTTTTTGGTTTAAATAAATAGTGTTATGATACTTAAAAATGTTTACTAGCAGACCTTGCAGTCGAACATTGTTCTTTTTAAAACCTTTTTTTAGTGCGAAGTGTACAAGATAGCCGTAAAAAACTCATCGCAACTTTATTAAAATATTTTGAGCGGGCAAGTGGTAGTAATGGTCCTTTATGTCCTCTAAGTGCTATTAAGAAGATGAATTCTGTTGATGTAAATAATAACCGTTTATACAGGGTGTCCCAGAAATAAGTGCAAATATTTTAAGAGGTGGTAGATCTGGGCAAAAGAAACATATTTTCTCTTTACCATTTTTAAAATAAATTGAAAATAACGGAGTTATTTAACTTTGAAAAATTAAAATATAATGGCAACATTTTGAGAACCGCCGGCAGATACACCATCCAATTATCCCGAATCCGTGCCCTGTGTTGCCGTATAGTCAATATAGAGTATACGCTTAAAAATAAATCAGAAAATTGCACCAAGATGCATTTCATTTTTAAGATGGTGGTATTATTACACATAATAAATTAAACGAAAAAACTTGAAGAAAGAGATGAAGTTCAAGTATTTAGGCATAGAAATCCCAGGATATGGTGATGTAGAAGCGGAGGTGCGAGAACGGACAACAAAGGTAACCAGAATAGCAGGATGCCTGAATGACACAATATGGCGAAATAAAAACATTGAGGTGGTAACTAAAGCGAGAATTTACAAGGCAACGGTACGACCAACAATGGCATATACTGCAGAAACTCGACCTAATACAGCGAAAACTAAACAACTACTGAGACAACCGAAATGAGAGCACTACGCAGAATAGCTGGAAAGACGCTTCTGGACAGGGAGAGAAATGAAAGTATAAGAAGAGCTTGCAAGGTGGAAAATGTAAATGACTGGGTACTCAGCAGAAAGGAAGAATGGAACGACCATATCAGCAGAATGGACAACAGAAGGATAGTGAGAGTTGCATGCGACAAATCACCGCTAGGTCGCAGAAGCTTAGGACGAACCCGGAAGCTTAGGAAAACGATGGAGCGACAACTTGTCAGTCTGACCGGTAGAGACGACGAAACCAAACAGGCGATTCGCTTAGAATAAAGAAGGAAGAAGAAGTAAAGAAATCTCAAGTGAATAAAGAAGTGGCACTAAAAGTTTTTTAAATTTCCCGAAAAATGTCAAAGAAAATTTTAAAACTTTCAACAATTTTCGTTCGCAAAAAAACCTCATAGGTGTGTTTCTGAGTTCGAAATATGCTACCTGTTAAAATATCTGCACTTATTGCTGGGACAACCTATATATTTATAATTAATTTATTTTTGTTTCCTAAAACATTTTGTTTAAAAGAAAATATATAAAAGTGGGCAACGCTGTGCCGGTCAAGCTTAATCACGCGACTAAAAGTTTATTTGGTATGAACTTTATGTGTTTTTAATTGTGGGCAGTTGAGCAATTTTGATTTTACAGTTCCATAGAGACGCTAGAAAAATTTCTCAAAAAATAATCTTATCACGTCACGCGGCTCTATATCAGGTACGTCTCAAAAGTGGCTCACCCCTATAAGTTTTTTATTTTATTGTGAATATAATGACATATCATAAGTCAACTTTTGATATATTCGCTTGAAAAAAATTGTATTTTAAATTTCAATCTAGTTAAACACACTAATTTTTAATGAAGAAGCTTTGGAAAAATCCATTTGATCGTCTAATGATTTTCGTGTCTTGTCCGAGCCCGTTAGAAGATGCCCAAATCGTATTTTTAATAATATCTCAATTTTTTCAAATAGAACAAGTGTGGCTCATTAGCATATTTGGAAAAAGTTTTTTTTAGGAATAGTATGGAACCACACACTTAGTATTTCGAGTCATATTGTCATAATGAGGTATATGAACCGCATGTTACAATTTCAAATAAACCATATGCGAAAATGTCAAAAAGAGTGGCATTTTCTATCAAATAATTTAAAAATATACCGGGGGTGTTATTTAAAAATCAAAAGTTGTAGTCATTTCCGGTGAAACAGGAAGTGACCGAAAACAATTGAATACGTTAATCAATCCTAAGTTATGTCATATTCTAACATACCAAATCTCCTTTTTTTATCTGAAAAAATAACAAAGTTATAAATGTGACCCACTTTTGAGACGCACCCGGTATAAGTGTTGTAATTGTGAGCAGGCTGACAATTTTGTTTACAGTTTCATAGAGGCGCTAGAAGAATTTCGCGAAAAATAATTTTGTGACGCCATGGGGAGATCAATTTTGTTCCTTCGAGACGGATCAAAACGTATTTTCGTGAATTGCGAAGGGCCACCCTTTTTGAAAGGGAAATAAACTATTGCGGCGACGCTACTCTTAATTAATTTATTTACAATTAAAATGATAAAAAAATATAACAGCAAATTAAACCCGTCGCGTCGTGTGACATTATTTTTGGCGAAATTCTTCTAGCGTCTCTATGGAACTGTAAACAAAACTGTCACAAAATGCCTGCTCACAATTACAAACAATATGAAAGAACCAAAAATAATTTATCTTAAAACTAAAAAATACATAAACACTATTGAAAAAATTATTTTGTTAAAATTCACTCTAGATTCGAAATAGTTGCAGTAGCTGAGGGTAGTTCTACAATCACAGGTCAGGTGTCACAGAACAGAACATCTTACTCCCACTCTGACATCATGTGGGGTCACAGGTTTCAGCCTTGTGTTGAATATGACGAAAATACGAAAACGTATGTGGTGGATTACAAGAAATTCAAACAGGTCATCCCATTTGATACGCCACTGTGCAGTGCAAGAAAACTTGCTGAAATGCGACGCAGGTAAGACCTTTATAAATTCAGCTCTTCAAACATAGAACAATATATCTGAATTTGTTAATCTCATCGCCAGGCAAGCTTATTATAACAACTTGTCAAATATAGAATCATATATCTGTTTGTTTCTCTTGCCTCCTTGGATTTGAGGTCAATTCCTATAGTAAGGCCTAATCATGACACTTCTCCCTCGAATTGATGCCTAGCCAACTCGATGTCCTTACACTGGAGTTCTTGCGAAGCTGGTGATATACCGCAAGGGTTAGTCAGTTCACTTCTACAGAGCCCCGCATGTAGAAGTAAGGGAGACGAGAATATAATGGATTGCCCCCTGGTGCCCCTGGGTTGAGACTCGTAGAAACTAGTTCTTCTAGCCACGCATCCTTTTACCTGGTCTCGTCATCATAGGAATTAGGTTTTGGTGAGGTTATATCCTCTTGGTCCGGGCGATTAAGCTAAAACTCCCCCACACCCTCTGCCCATGATACATGACCACAAACAGTAGAGGGTGCATGGTATGACGGACAGAGTAGTCCTATTCGGCATCGTTATGTTATAAGCCTTGATTCAATTCCCTGGCCACGACATTACAGCGAGGGACAAGACAATGAAATGCTTCTTAGACCCAACCAAATTGAGTGGGGAGTTCCCCTAGCACCTGACTATAAGCTTTCCTACCAACGACAATGTCTCGCATCTCTTAGAGAAAAAAACCGTATGGATACCTTAATATACGTTTTATTACCAAAATGTGTTACGAACAGTTAACATAATCTATAATATTTAATACGCTTAGTCAATTATTAAATTAGAAATCGAATTTAATTTTTGGTTCGTTGTGACGCTAGTGACAGCCGATTAACATTAACCAATATTCTTAAATGTATTGCTAACCCAAATAGAAAAATTAGAATAGCCAACTGTTTCTATCATTCTTGATCGCGTCGTACATGCCATGGTTTGCGAGATATGTAATAAAAAAATAAACTATTTTTAGGTTTGACAACGATGCAGAATTAACATTACGAATGACGAACGAGATCAACAAAAGACAATTAACAAGCATACCGGAAGGTGATAGTGACAATGACAGGTTTAGACGTAGTAAAGAAGAGACTAGAAAGGAAACAAAAGAAGAAAGAATACCGGAAGTATTTAGAAAATTATTTCATCCTGAGAGTGTACATGATTTACACATATATAAGGAACGAAATAAACAACAATAAATATATTTAAGTCTTTTACTGCTAATAAATTTGAACAGCTTTTAAAACTTTACGATTATACATACCATTTTTGTTAAATTAAAAATAAATAAATAGAAATATACCTTGAAAATCATAAAATATACTCAACTTATATAATTTTAAATATTATGAACTGCATTTCTTTTCTACAACTATCTTACATTTCTTGATTTTTTTTAATTCACGATAATTACAAATATTATATACAGTTTCACGTCACCGAAAATCACAGAATATAATTAAAAATCTTGAAAAGTTTAGAAATCAGTTTCTTCGTATTTCCTACTTGTTCTATTCTTACTTCTTCCTGCTTCTGTAACATATTTCTGCAAATTAACAAAAAACTCTTTTGCTGTGCCACTTAAAGTCCTTGGTCTCTCATCTGTGTCTTTCTTCCTTAATTCCACCTCTAGCCTTGCCAATTTCTTCATTTCCTTTTCTTCAGTTCGTACGTCATTCAAACTTAAGTCCATAAAGGTAGTGTAATCTTCATTATCAGATGACTCTCGGGATTCACTCTCACTTTTCTCACGATGTACTTGAGCTATACATTGAACTTCATCTTCATCAGATACACTGGAATCTTCATCATCTTTCACTTGTTTTACTCTATCATGAGTAAATGATTTAAAACTTGTTATCAAAGGGCTTCTTATTGAAGGGGTCGAGAGCTTTGAGCCACCAGAAAAACTCCCATTGTAAGGGCTGATAGAAGATAGCAAGTCTTCGTAAACTTCACTCAAACGTTGTGCGCTGCAAAGTGGCATTTGAACTTCTTCAGTTTTGTTAAAGAGTCTGTGATTAACGACGTATTTTCTTGCTACTTTGTCCCATGAAGTGCACTGGTTAAATTTGTAGCCCCATTTGATTTCTCTGCTTAAGTATGACGTTACTGTTCTTGATACGAATGATGTAGCCAATGATTCGCCTTCCAGCATTACTATTATTTCGAATCTGCAAGACAATTATTATTTAAATGTTTTATAAAAGTATATAAACATAGATATTTAAAGGTTAAACTTATCTCTACAGGGTGTTTCATAAAACATGTGTCATCTCTCGTGGGGAGATTCCTCACGTAAAAATAACATTTATTTTTTATATTATCATAGGTCCGACTGTGCTTTGTTTTGTAGCTACAGGGTGTTAAAGCCTTAAAATTTTTCGATTTTATGATTGAAATTTTGAGAGTAAAAGTTACTATAAGTGCTACATATTTTAATTAAAAAAGTGTCGATAAAGTCATCAGGGACGTGTATATGGGTTATCACTGGAATATTTAAAAAAAAAACATTTGCGCCACTGACTTTTTTCTTTTGATATCAAAATTGAGTAGGCCGTTTAAAGCCAATTAAAAGTGATCTCTTAATATTTTGTCGAATTCGGCCTCCTTGATGAGATAAGCACAATTTTATTAATCACAATTAATAAAATAAAAATAAAAATGAAACTAATAAATTATATATTTTACCTAATTTATTATTAAATATTATTACTATTAGTTATTATTACTATTAGTCCCATCTACAGCAATTTCAAATAAAAAAATTATGGTATTTAAAATAATTACCATAATTGGTAATTATGGTAATTATTAGTCTGGTGGTGGTCTTGGTCTTGCACAAAAAGCAAGACCAAGATCAAGACTAGCGTTTTATATGCAAAACCAGTGCAAGACTGCACAAGATCAAGGCCAGCGGTCTTGCAATCTCTCAAACCTCTGGCGGTCTTGCAATTATTACATTCTATATCTACATCTCCTTTTTCTTATTACTAATAATTTTAAAAAAAGGTAATTTTCATTTACTTAGCCCTCACCTCTATATTTTTTTAAATAAAATATATTAAAAAAGTTAATATTCTTGCTAACGATATGTTTGAAAAAGTGTAGTTTGAAATGTTGAAAAGTAATAAATTAAAAATTAATAAATTTGATTCACTTTCACAAAATTTGTATTAAAATGACCGTCTGTCCGTCTGAGGATTCCATTCGTGTACCTCTATCCACGTGTGAAGTTTGGTTCCTATCGACCCATAATTAAGAAAAATACTGATGATTTCGTCAATCGGTTCGAAACGTCGAGTGCGTCATCCTATTATAGCCCGTCCCCAATTATGCCAAAATCAACCCACCTAGTCCCATTCTGATGAAGATGTAAACGAAATGTATCCAACTTTGCAGTGTGGGACCGTGTAAACCGTCGCTCACATAGCTTACCCACCAAATTTGGTCGCGGTTCGACGACATCATAGGACGACATCAACTATTGACGTTTCTTACGTCAAAACTAACTGTCACAGTGACATGTGTCTTCAAGCTGGCGTTGGTCCAGTCTATCAACATACCAAATTTTATTTAAATTTTATCGAACGACATTTTCGCCATCGATGAGTTTCATAGTGCACGAAACGTCGTCAAAATATCATGAAAAGATGAGGCCCTTCGAGTAAGTAATATCAGCCATATTAGAGTAAAGTAATATTAATAGTACCTATATTATATTATGTAGTGTTACACAAAAATCTGTAGTTACTAGAGGTATAATAGATATTTACGATACAAATGAGTTAACAGCATCATTAAGATACGCTTGTGAAAGTTACACAAGTGCGTAGCACGAGTTGTGTAACCACACAAGTATCGTAATGGAGTTAACTCGCGTGTATTGTACAATATTTTATCTACGTCTAACTATAAAAACACACAATTAATTTTAAAAATTATTGTAGATTAGATTCTTAGAGGTGGCTTTCGGCCTGATCCACTGCGACCTTCTCAGATCTATTGTGGTCCTCTTCTGATCCTTAGATTACATTCTCCAGTCCTATCCTTTTCACAAAGTTTAGCAACTTGGAAACTGAACCCTCCATGTAGTTCTGCGCCTATGAATGGCATTGATGAGCCTTGCTTGGCCCTTTCATCTGCCTTTTCGTGACCCTCGTGCCCTGGCACCCAGGCCAACGTAACTGTGCTACGTTCGCCCAAAGTATTCAGAGCACGCACACAGTCCCACACTAGTCTAGAATCGACCTCCGCGGAACCGAGTGCCTTTAGCGCCGCTTGGCTGTCTGTGAAGATGGCCACAGAACGATTTGTTCTTTGTTGCCTTATTATTTCTTCTACACAATAGTGGATTGCCGTTCTTTCTGTCTGGAAAATTGTGACATCCTTAGATAGGCTGACGTGGAAGGATCTCCCTTGTTTCGGCCCTACTATCACACTAAAAACGGGAAACTTTATGCAGCTGTTAAGTTCATTTACTGGATAGTAGGAATGTTATTTGAGGCACAAGCTAAGAAATACGTTCTAAATATACTTTTAACCAATCAAAATCATGGGTAAACGAATGTCGAAACTTAAATATTAGATTAATTCGGTCTTTTGTTCATTCATTGGTTGCGTTCATTTACTGGTGCATTTACCCTACTTTGTCTGCTTTTAGCTCTTCGATTAGCTTCTGGTTAGCAGTACTATATGCACTATGCGTTTGGCTTATGTGCTGCTGACCGTGAATTAACCTGTGCATGACAGATCTGGCTTCACCTTGTATGAAAATATGTAATGGTGGTAAGTTCAACAAGACTTCCATCGCATTTATAGGAGTGGTTTTTATGGCCCCAGTTACACACAGGCACGCAAGCCTTTGTGTGGAACTTAACAGCCTTACCGCACCCGCTTGCGATGTCTTTGTCCACCACGCCACCGACCCGTAGGTTATCATGGATCTTACTATCCTTGTGTATAGCAAAAATTATTGTACTTAACTATATACCTATCCTAAAAATCAATTTACCTTAATACCTTTGTTCAAATAACACCATGCATGGCAATGCATGGCAATGTCAATATGACAGTAAATAATATTGATGTCACTAATTTAAAAAATGAGCGATTCGGAAAGTATTCCCTCTGACATTGAAGAAGAAACATTCAGAGCCATTTCTGGATTGCTTCCAGCAAGATCGAAACAGAAGTATGAATATACATACCTACTCTAAGTATAAAAAATGGTACACCAAAAAAAAAGTACACAACTATGGAAATGAAAAGGTATTCAGAACATATTTTTCCAATTTAGTGCAAAATAAATGTTTTACAAAATATTTTTTCTCTTTGGTAGTCATCTAAACAAGGAGTGCTGTAATGAAAATGCGTGAGTTAAGAGCTTCTTAACTCACTGACGTAGATAAATGTATTTAATTTGTGCCAAACATAAAAAAAAATAAATAATAATACCAAAAATTCAACGCCTAGTAAAATATTGCCCTTTAACCCATATAAAGGGCCAAATCTCTTCACATAATCAATTTCCGGACAATCCTCACAGATCAGGGATGCTTCCTGCATCCACAGGTAAATGGAAGATTCTTATCAAAGCCGAGTTCGCCCCTTCTTCCCAGATAATATCTTAAGCTGAAAGGTTTCCTAGAGGGTCTTTTACGTCAATCTTATGACGAATATCAGCTGGTCCTATTAGTATTCTGTGTGTCGAAAATTCCACGCTTCTTTTTATGCAAAAGGAAAAGGAAAGATAAATACGGAAATTTGGGAAAAACACTTATATCTGATTCTTCATTTAGAGGAAATATAGCGGGTATGTTCGAAAAAAAAAAAGCGGCGTCAAGGACGGCTGGAAAATGATATACGGTGAGTTAATTTTGGCGAGGTCAATCACAACATTAATTATTTAGAAAGATTAAAAAATGACAGAAAAAGTTTATTTAAGACTTACTTTTTACTTAAATTAAAATAATATTGTACGACCAACAAGAAATGCTGATTAAATTAAATTAGTTCAAGGAAAATAAAAAAAACGATAAATCATGAATTATACTTGTTGGAATATTGTATCAAAAATTTAAATTTACCGGCACCCTAGCGGAAGTAGATGAGAATGTCATATGGGAGCTGTGTATGGGAATTATGGGTAATAAAAAGTAGTCTGAAACTGTGGTCTGAAATAAAAGATGGTGTGTGTTGTATCGAGTACAAAATAGGTCGTTTTGGTGTTTTATTTATCCTAAAATCTAATAGGTTATGGGCCCAGACACCAGCCCAAAACGCGAGTTTCGGTAGTTACGGAGTGAAAGGGAAGAGAAAAAACGTCTAAAAATTAAACGTTTTTTCGTTGCGTCGTAATCGGGTATCGGTGGCGTTCCTTTTTTCACAAGATGGCCGTCAACTATTTGGCAAGCGTTCCGAAGCTAGTTGGTCGAGAAAACTACGACGAATGGTGCTTTGCGGTAGAAAACGTTTTTGTACTCGAGGGACTTTCTAAATGTTTGGAAGGCACCGAGACAGACAGTGTACTTCTGGCAAAAGCTAAAGCGAAGTTCGTGTTGACATTAGATCCTTCCTTATATGTGCATGTTAAAGACGCGGCCACATGCAATGAAGCTATGAAAAAGATCCAATCACTCTATGAAGATGTGGGATTTACCAGAAAAATAGGGCTTTTGCGACATTTAATATCCTTGAGATTGAGTAGTTGTGAAAATATGGAGTCGTACGTGAATCAAGTGATTGAAACATCACAGAAGTTAAGGAAAACCAAGTTTGATATAAGCGAAGAATGGGTAGGTTCCCTTCTGCTGGCCGGTTTACCAGACAAGTACGCCCCCATGTTGATGGCGATCGAGCATGCAGGAATCGCAATCACAACAGATACCATCAAAAGTAAATTGCTTGATATGCAAGAAGAAAACTCTGGCAGTGTCGGCAAAGCAGGTGCCTTTGCAGCAAGCGGTAGTAACTTCAGAAATCAGTCAAGAGGTGGCAGTAATTCTAACAGAAAAGTGTCAATTAACAGTAGTAATCAATCTGTGGATGACCGGCGTGATTCTGACAGACGCCAAATTGACAGAAGTAAAATAATTTGTTTCAAATGTAAACAACCTGGACATTTTAAGTCGAAATGCCCAAATTTAAGTGTTTCTTCGTCGAATTCTTCGAAATATGCTTTCAGTGCTGTATTTTTAAGCGGAAAATACAATAAGAATGATTTTTATTTGGACTCTGGTGCGAGTAGGCATATGTCTCCCAATGAAAATGCATTATACAACAAGAGAAAACCAGACATTGAAGAAATTACTGTTGCTAACCACGAAAAATTAGCAGTGAAATGTTTAGGCGATATGGACATTTCTACAAGTGTAAAAGACACACAGAACAATATAACTGTTTATGGTGTTTTGTGCGTGCCTAATCTGACGACAAATCTTTTGTCAGTGAGTGAACTGATTGCTAAAGGAAATAGAGTGTCATTTAACCAAGAAGGTTGTTCGATATACAGTAGGAATAACGACTTGGTGGCTACAGCAACTCTAGTTGGAGGTGTGTATAAAGTAAACATGAAAGTTGAAAAATGTATGCTTGCAGCGTGCGATGACAGTGAACTTTGGCACAGGAGGCTTGCACACATAAATTGCCAAGACTTAAACAAGATGAAACACTGTGTAAGTGGCATGGAGTTGAAAGGAGTAGCAAGAATTGACAAGTCAAATTGTGTGGTATGTTGTGAAGGCAAACAAACCAGGCTACCTTTCCCAACCACAGGAACACGAAGCAACCAAGTGCTTGAAGTTATACATGGAGATGTTTGTGGACCTATGGAGACGATTTCTATTGGTGGCTCAAAATATTTTTTACTTTTAGTCGATGACTTTACAAGAATGTCATTTGTCTATTTTTTGAAGACAAAGGATGAGGTGTTCAAGTATTTCCAGGAATTTAAAACAATGGTCGAAAAACAACAAGGCAGAAACATCAAGATATTCCGCAGTGACCAAGGTGGTGAGTTCTGTAGCAATAAGTTCGAGAGATTTTTTCAGGAAGAAGGTATTATACACCAGAAGACGAACGCTTATACTCCTGAACAAAATGGACTTTCAGAAAGACACAATCGAACATTGGTTGAAAAAGCAAGATGTTTACTGTATGATGCAGGTCTACCAAAAAGATTTTGGGCAGAGGCAGTAAATACCGCTAACTATCTACGGAATAGATGCATAGCCAGTGGACTAAATGGAAAAACACCCTTTGAGAAGTGGACAGGGAAGAAACCGGATGTTTCAGGTCTAAGAATCTTTGGCAGTACAGTAATGGCTCATATTCCTAAAGAGAAGCGTCTTAAATTTGACAAAAAAGCTTGTAAACATATTTTAGTTGGTTTTTCAGATCATATCAAGGGTTATAGGATCTACAACCCAGACACTGATGATGTAACAACAAGCAGAGATGTTATTATACATGAAAACCTGAAAACCAATAAAATGAATGTTAGCTATGGCAGTGAAGTAACAGAGGAGTCAGTTGAAGTGGGGGAAAATAAGCAAAATACACAGGTTAGTGAAAACAGCTTACATAGTTCACTTGACAGTCTATATCAACAGTCAGAAGAACAATCTTCAGTTCATATGGACTCTACAGACAGTGACTATGAACCAGATGTGCCAGACACGACTTTGTCTGATCCAGAAGCAGCAAGACGATCTCAGAGGCCAAGGCGAGAAAAGCAGTTCACTGATTATGTTACGTATCTAACTACTGCTGAGCAAAATGAAAGTATTGTTCCCGAAGAAGTTCTAGTGACAGATGATACTCCTGTGAGTGTTCTAGAAGCCATGTCGAGGCCAGATCATGCAGAATGGAAGCGAGCTATTGAAGAGGAACTAGCTTCTTTTGAAGAAAACAACGCTTGGGAAATTGTGGACAAGCCAAAGGACGCCACAATAGTGAAGTGTAAGTGGGTGTTCAAAAAGAAGTGTGATAGTGAAGGTGATGTTAGATATAGAGCTCGTTTGGTAGCTAAAGGTTTTTCTCAGAAACCAGGGGTGGACTACAATGAAACTTTTTCTCCTGTAGTGAGACATTCTAGTTTAAGGTTATTATTTGCATTGTCTTTAAAGTTAGACTTAGAAATAACACATTTAGATGTAAAAACAGCTTTTTTGAATGGTTATTTACAGGAAATAGTCTACATGGAACAACCAGAATGTTTTGTAACTAAGGGTAATGAGAGTAAAGTGTGTAAACTGAATAGAGCCATATATGGTTTGAAGCAATCATCAAGAGCTTGGAATCTTAGGGTTAATGAAGTTTTATTAAAATTAAATTTTAAAAGGTCAATATTTGAACCCTGTATTTATACAAAAAAGGATAACAATCTCTTGACAATAATTGCTCTTTATGTTGACGATTTTTTAATTTTTTCTAATGATTGTAAAAACAGTAAAATTTTAAAAGAATGTTTAAGTTCTGAATTTAAAATTAAAGATTTGGGTCAAGTTAAACAATTTTTGGGTATGACTATTTGTAAAAAAAAGGATTGTTTAATGTTAAGTCAAGAAAATTATGTTAATCAGGTTCTTAAAAGATTTAATATGCTAGATTGTAAAAGTGTTACTACTCCAATGGAAAGTTTTGATTTTAATGAAAATAATTGTGATACAAATGTTAATAATTGTCAATATCAAAAACTAATAGGTAGTTTAATGTATTTAGCAGTATTAACACGTCCAGACATATCGTTTAGTGTTAGTTTTCTTAGTAAATTTAACAATTGTAATAACAGTTATCATTGGAAATGTGCAAAAAGAGTACTGAGATATTTGAAAGGAACAAAAAATTATGTAATTAAATTTACTAAGGATGATATAAATTTGCTAGGATATGTTGATGCTGATTGGGGATCAGATAAAGCTGATAGAAAGTCTTATACTGGATATATTTTTAAGCTTTCAGGTGGCCCCATATCATGGAAAAGTTCGAAGCAGAAAACTGTAGCCTTATCCAGCACGGAGGCAGAATATATGGCACTCAGTGATGCTTCTAAAGAGGCCATATATTTACGCAATTTAGTTTACGAGCTGACTGATAAATTGGATAGTGTAACAATTTTTAATGATAATCAGAGTGCCATTAAGTTATCAATGAATCCAATTTTTCATGAACGCTCTAAACATATAGATATCAGGTATCATTTTATAAGAGAAACAGTTGATAAAAACACTATTCAGTTAAAATATTTAGAAACAGAAAATATGATAGCTGATATATTAACAAAAAGTGTTGGAGGTACAAAACATATGTATTTTGTAAAGGGGTTAGGTTTAGAAAAAGGTTAGTTATTTTTATATTTTTGATAAGTGGGGGTGTTGGAATATTGTATCAAAAATTTAAATTTACCGGCACCCTAGCGGAAGTAGATGAGAATGTCATATGGGAACTGTGTATGGGAATTATGGGTAATAAAAAGTAGTCTGAAATAAAAGATGGTGTGTGTTGTATCGAGTACAAAATAGGTCGTTTTGGTGTTTTATTTATCCTAAAGTCTAATAATACTCACCTCTTAAAAATTAGATCTTTAGCTGACAAATCCCAAAATGGACTTTTTGAATCAATTTTGTGCCGAACGTCGAGAGGCCACAAGAGTATTCCTGGTGGTTCTAATTTCAACTCTTGCAATTTTGGTGCTGTAGGTCCACGTACTGCCACAAAAGCTGCTATTTTCGTGTGGCACTCGTAGCGCCTATCGCAGTCTCTAACTCGAAATATCAAACACAAACAGCCATCTCTTTGACAAATCTATGAAAAGAAAGAGCTTAATTTTATTATAATCGTTCACAACAAACTTTACTATTAAACAATCTATATAATCTTACTACGAATAGTCATACTGCTTATACACGGACAAAGCTAACATAATTAGCAATTCGAACTATCTTGATCTATGCCAGCTCAAGCACACCATCGAGATGAAAAAGAACGCAAAGTCAAGGATGGCGCACTTGCCATCCTAATCCGTCCCATCTATCAGGTCGTTCGTACACATCAAAGGTATACCGGGTGCGTCTCAAAAGTGGCTCACCGCTATAACTTTTTATTTTTTCAGATAAAAAAACGAGATTGGTATATTAGAATATGACATAAGATTGACGTATTCAATTGTTTTTGGTCGCTTCCTGTTTCACCGGAAATGACTACAACTTTTGATTTGGTATTTTTTTACTTTATTCGATAGAAAATAACATTCTGAATAGAATGACATACCATATGTCAACTTTTGACATTCTCGCTTAATAAAAAATTGTATTTTAAAATTCAATCCAGAGTGCCATGGCTATGTTAAAAACACTAATGCTTCATCAAGGAGCCTTGGAAAAATAGATTTGATCGTCTAATGTTTTTAATATCTTGTCCTGGCCAGTTAGAAAATACTCAAATCGTATTTTTAATCATATCTCAATTTTTTCAAATGGAACGAGTGTGGCTCATTAGCATATTTGGAAAAAGCATTTTTTTACGAATAATTTGATACCACACACTTGGTATTTCGAGTCAAATTTTCGTTACGAACCGCAAGTTATAATTTCAAATAAACCATATGCGAAAATGTCAAAAGTTGACATATGATATGTCATTCTATTCAGAGTGACATTTTTTATCGAATAAAGTAAAAAATTACCGGGGATGTCATTTAAAAATCAAAAGTTGTAGTCATTTCCGATGAAACTGGAAGTTACCGAAAAGAATTGAATACGTCAATCAATCCTAATTTATGTCATATACTAACATACCAAATCTCGTTTTTCTAACTAAAAAAATAAAGGGAAATAAGGGGAAAATTTACCCCTTAATAATACCAGATCAAGGCTCGAGCATGTAGAAATTGGTAGTCATCTTCATTGGGACACGGGAAGCTATCTTGAATACTGATGATGGACTTTCAATTTTGATGGATTTTTCTTTCATTTAAGAAAGAATCTTTTTTGGTTGAATTTTAAAAAGATATAGAAAAACTTTGACAATAGTTAATACGTGACAAGAAGTATAAACACTCACTAAAAATACTTATATATAACTATAGTAAATCACATGGAACTATTTACTATATACAGTGTAACATTTCGAACCATATAATGAACCACAGTAAAACCATAGTAAAGCTCCTATTTTCGTATTGTACTGGTAGCGTCTGTCACTGTCTAATTTAAAAAATCGCCATATCTGTGACAATTCTGTGAATTAAAAGAAAGGGCATAAATTTATTATAATCGTTTAGAACAATCTTACTATTAAACAATCTAAATATAATCTCTATAAAATCATCTTACTACGAATCTCGCTATAACTACTACTTATACACCGACAAAGCCAACATAATTAGCTATTTGAACTATCTTGATCTGTCAGCTCGAGCACACCATCGAACTGAAAAAGAACTCAAGGATGGCGCACTTGCCATCCTAATCCGTCGTACACATCAAAGGCACTAGGACAGGAGACAAAAGGAAATTATTCGCATTATTATAACCTGGGAGCTTTTACATTTCCACATCTGTCACGCCAGAGGAGGAAGAAGGGCAAAGGATAGAAAGGGGGGGATTTGGTACTTAATAATGCAAGATCAAGGCCTGTCTGTGGAAAAATGGGGACTCATCTTCATTGGGAAAGGGGAAGCTCTCTTGAATACTGATGATGGACTTTCGATATTTTTCTTTTATTTGAGAATCTTTTTTGGTTTGAATTGAAACAGATATAGAAGAACTTTAATAATAGATAATACATGACAAGCGAAGTATAACCCGACCACTAAAAATACTTATATGTAAGTATAGTAAATCACAGGGAGGTATAATAGTAAATTATAGTTTTATATATCAAAGCATATAATAAAGCACAGTAAAGCTGCTATTTTCGTGTGGCACTGGTAGCATCTACCATAGTCTAACTCGAAATATCAAACACAAATCGCCATCTTTTTGACTAGTCTCTGAATGAAAAGAAAGGGCATAATTTTATTACAATCGTTTAGAACAATCTTTACTATTAAACAATCTAAATATAATCTCTATAAAATCGCTATACCTACTACTTATACACAGACAAAGCCGACATAATTAGCTTTTCTAGCTATCTTGATCTATGCCAGCTCAAGCACACCATTGAGCTGAAAATGAACGCAAAGTCAAGGATAGCGCACTTGCCATCCTAATCCGTCCCATCTATCAGCTCGTTCGTACACATCAAAGGCACTAGGGCAGGAAACAAAAGGAAATTATTCGCATTACTATAACCTGGGAGCTTTTACATTTCCACATCTGTCACGTCAGAGGAGGAAGAGGGGTAAAGGATAGAAAGGGAAGGATTTAGCCCTTAATAATGCCAGATCAAGGCCTCTGTATGGAGAAATAGGGAGTCATCTTCATTGGGAAAAGGGAAGCTATCTTGAATACTAATGACGGACTTTCGATATTCTTCTTTTATTTAAGAATCTTTTTTGGTTTAAATTTAAAAATATAGAAAAACTTTAACAATAATAGGTACATGACAAGAAGTATAACCCGCCCCCTAAAAATACTTATATGTAGGTAAGTATAGTAAATTACCGGGATGTATAATAGTAGATTATAGTGTAATATTTCAAAGCATATAAAAAAGCAAAGTAAAGCTGCTATTTTCGAGTGACACTGGTAGCATCTATCATAGTCTACCTCGAAATACCAAACACAAATGGTCATCTCTTTGACTAGTCTCTGAATGACAAGAAAGTTTATAATTTTATTATAATCGTTTAGAACAATCTTTACTATTAAACAATCTAAATATAATCTCTATGAAATCATCTTACGCGACTCTCTCTCTCTAACTCGAAATATCAAACACAAATCGCCATCTCTTTGACAAATCTATAAAAAGAAGCTTAACTTTTTTATAATCGTTTAGAACAAACTTCACTATTAAACAATCAAAATATAATCTCTATAAAATCATCTTACTACGAATCTCGCTATACTACTTTACACACGGACAAAGCCAACATAATTAGCTATTCGAACTATCAAGCTGAAAAAGAACGCAATCTGAAAAAGAATCCCATCTATCAGCTCGTTCGTACACATCAAAGGCACTAGGGCAGGAGACAAAAGGAAATTATTCACATTACTATAACCTGGGAGCTTTTACATTTCCACATCTGTCATGTCAGAGGAGGAAGAGGGGTAAAGGATAGAAAGGGGAGGATTTACCCCTTAATAATGCCAGATCAAGACCTGTGTGTGGAGAAATGGGGAGTCATCTTCATCGAGTAAAGAGAAGCTATCTTGAATACTAATGATAGACTTTCGATATTTTTCTTTTATTTAAAAACTTTTTTTAGTTTAAATTTAAAAAGATGTATAAAATCTTTAATAATTGATTAATGCATGACAAGTACAATATGATTGAAAAAAACGGGGTCAGCGATGGCTATGCAATGAAGTTTGCTGTCATTTTATACGTAAAATTATATGGGGAATGTCATCGATCGTCATTTCCAAGCCAACTGGACGCCGTTTTTTTTTCGATCATACGATAGCACAAAGAATATAATATATATAATACATAAAAATAAATAACTAACCAACTAAATGATATATAATAGATTTTTTTAAGAACATATTTGAGATTTTCCAAAAATAGAATATTAATCGTATTGTGCAGTGAACGGCTCATAAAATAAGTACAGTAAATGACAGAGAAGTATTATAATAGTAAATGATTGAATAATACCTATTTCAAAGCATATCGTGAAGTAGGTACAGAAAAGCTGCTACCTTTAACCCAAACCAAACAATTTTTACATATTTTAGCAGAAGTGAAATAAATACATATTATCTTTAATGAAGACTATAGCCAAATCAAAAGCAAAGTATGTATTTATTTTCAAAAAGATCTTACCACAGCTTTTCTGCTGAAACAAGTGATAGTGTTTCTGCTGTGTAACGGTCCTCCCATTTTAACAAAAACTATGCAAATCAAACTGCCACACACTCCAACACCAAAAAGCAGTTGAATGCATAATCCAACTATAGCTTCAACGCAATATTCCTTTATATATCGGCTACCATATCCTATGGTGGTTTGAGTTTCCACACTGAAGAGTAAATAACCAGCAAAACTGTTGATACCTTATCCAAAAAATCATTATCTTTGTTATATACTTATTCAAACAGAAGTAAAATATATTACAAACATATTCAAATTCAACTAATATCACAGGCACATATTGAAGATTCCTTAGTACAATATATACAATGAATAAGTGATTAAGATTACAAATAGTATGTAATCTATGTAAAGCTCTTTTGATTAAAATCGTATTTTTTGCTGTTTTTAAAAAATCACCCTTGCCGGTAACTAGTATCACCCTTTCCGTAACAATGAACTATAACTTTTAACATTTTAACACAGCAAAAATTATGACTGTGTTAATCAATTAGTAATAATACCAGCACAAGCATAAAAAAAATAAAAATTATGCATTTTTCTCAAATTGTTAATATTTAAAAAAAATTTCCTTGTGTAATGAGAGGATACGGAGACATACAGTAGATTATTAGACATATACATGCCGCAGTCTTCTAAGAGTGCAAAACTGGTTAATTAAATGTTAATATGCTAATTTGTGCTAATACTTATCCTATTACCACAGAAGTGGTAAAAAAATATCTGCTATTACCTTCTAGACATGTGTCGCTTGTTCCATTCCAATTGTCCACATTTTCTACTGATATTACTGCCCAAAATCCAGCAAAGGTAAACCAAGATATGACAAAAATCAGTGATACTATTAACAATATAGTAAACCATGATCCTTCTATCAATGTGTTGAATAAATCCAAAATAAATTTGTAGGATCTTTCAGTAGTGGTTTTAGTGTGAATGGAAGATTTTCCACTTTTTCTTACAAGTCTTCGAATTATCTTAACTTTATGTCGTTGCTGCCAGCTCTGCAAGCTTTTTAAATAATCTACTATTAGCTAAAGAATCTAGTATTGCCCTACATCAGAGATACTCTTGATATACTTCGTATATAGAACGAACGTATATGCATACGAGCCACCCCTATAGAGTCTGTCCAAGCAGTCCAAGGCAAAAGATCCCCCTGACAGTAGTAGTTACGTCTGTCATTTTAATTTAAAGGTAAATTGTAATTTTTTGCATATTGTCTATTGATATCTTCCCTGATTCTTTGAAAAAACACCCTTTTTCCGGCATGAAAAACAAACACCTTAAAATTTTGATGTATTTTAAGGTTTAATATATTTTGTGCGAGTGGGTCGATTTTAATGATTTTAAGCAATATCTGGCAATACGTAGCTAAATTATTTGCCCTTTTAGTATCTCTTTCAATACTAAAAATGAAAGTTCCCATCTGTCAATTATAGGAGGGAAAATAAAATGTAGATATTTTGGTGAAAGTTTGAAATACACTGTGGGATATATTAACAAAACAAAGAATTTAAAAATAATTTTGTTATCTAGAAACATCTTTTCTCGATAGTTTGTTTTTTGGTTCATTTCATTAGCTGTACGTTTTATTGAAGATATTCGGTTTTGCTGAAGAAAATAACATTTTTTCGTAATTCATTAAAACCATGCGTTTGTTTTCGATCATAGTGGCAAGTTGATTGTCTCGATTCGAAGTTCTCATACGAAGGTTCCTGGCCGTCTAGCCTATGAACTTTTCTCGAGGAAGAGAAATAGAATAGAGAAGTAGAATATAGAATCTTCATAGATTGAAGCGACTGCACTATAATACTCGTACCTCGTACACATTTAATTCTGTTAGCGACATAATAATTTTGATCTCAATTAAAGCAACTATAGTGGATATAACTTCTGGATTTAAAACTATCCCTGATAGAATAACTGCCCAGGAGCCAACTGACAATAATATAATTTCTCAACATCATAATTTTGATCTCTGTCATCTTCTTGATTAACTATCTCTATTATTACAGTTGAGGGGTGGAAGGTGGAACCTTTGGTGTTACACAGCAAAATAAAAACACTAAATCACCACAATACACCAAAACACTTTTACTTTTACACTGGACGCGCGTTTCGCTAACCATGTTAGCATCTCTGATAGAATAACTGCCCAAGCGCCATCAGACAATAATAATTACTCAATAACAGCAGATAACAGTGACATTACACAAATCATAAACCTTATCATAAACACTATATTTCATAGAGGTCTGTTGACTGAAAGCCAAAGTAAAGGCACGGTTTTAATGTAAACATTACGACAAAATGTTGGTGTCTTCTTCAAAAGCGAATATCTCCAAAAAAATAAATAAGCTATTGATAGATGTACCAAAAAACAAACTATCGAGAACAGATATTATGCACCTAGATGATAAAATAATTTTCAAATAATTCTTTGCTTTTTTAATAAATTTCACCAGAGTGTTCTAAACATTCGTCAAAATAACAGCATTTTGTGTTCCCTCGTATAACAGATGGGAACTTTCATTTTTAATTTAAAAAGAGATGCTAAAAAGTCAAATAACTTAGCTACAAATTGCTTAAAGGATCATGAAAATCGGTCGACAAGAACACAATATACAATCTAAAATACATCAAAATTTTAAGGTGACTGTTTTTCGTACCTACCGGTTCGGTGAGTGTATTTCATTGAGACACCTAGTACAGTCTCTATTTTTGGTAAATTCTTGTAATAATACCAAATACACTTACCTAGACTTTCTTCTACGGGTATTTGTTCTGTGTTTAAATAAATAATAAGGATAAAAAACTGTATCACTTTCAGAATCATGGACATTCTCGATTACATTTTCTTCATCTCTTTGTCTAGCCATACTTTTTATTATTTTATTTTCATATTCGAATCGAATGTTAAATATAAAATTTTACATGTATTATGTACATACGACGAAACATAACAAATAGGTGCTTTCATACTACTATGTAAAAAATAAAATTAAGGCTGGTGTTTAGTCACCATTTTATAGCACCAAAAATGTGTTATCTCAGATATTATCACTATTTAAAGATTATAGTATTTAGGCTATAATAATAAAGTCAAATAAGAATATTTGACAAACCTCAAAATAAATATTGTGTACCTACTTTTTCCAAATTTATTTATATTATGACTCTAATTGCATATTTTCTTTTATTTCTAAATATAAATATAATTTTGATGAAATGGCGAATGCGCCAGAACATTTTAAATATGATTAATTTTCAATAATCAAATAAATATTTCATTTAAAAATAAACTAAATTATCAGATTGGGTTGATGTTAATAACCTGTTAAATATCCGACCGATATTAATTAAAACAAAACAAAATTATCACTAAAATTTTATTTTAAATACATACAAAAATTACTTTATTAGATTTGGTTATCAAAAGCTAAAACGTTAAGCACGTGAATACTAGAATTTTTCTTTATAAATTTTTGCATGCATAAATAAATTAGTATCAAAATATCTTTTTAACAATTTTTTATAAATAAGAATGTCAAAAGGAAACTTAATGGTCCATTTTTAGGTATATAAAATCGTTATAAAAGCTAATAGGTTAACATACAAGAAAATTAGTTTCTTCCAGTCTATGGTTCTCTACCAAAGGCCCGAGGAAAAGCCACCTGGTGGGACTCTAGTACGAGCTGGCGCTGCATCTGCTGCAGGTGGTTCAGCTTTTTGTGGTGGTTGTGGAGCTGCTTCTTTTTTCGGACTAGGGGCGGCCACCTGACTGTTTGTTCCCTCCAAAATCGATGAGGCGTTACGACCTGTGTCTTTCTTAACTGGTGGATCAGGGGCCCCAAAAATATCAGTGTGACCACCACCAGGTGGTCTTAGTACTCTACTTGAGTTTTTATCCGCTGAGAAACCAACATTAACACCCGTGGAAGTCATCTTGAACTGAAATTGAAATCACTATTGAATCAACTACTATTAAACTACTTTTTAATTTAGATGTGCAGTTATAAATGCGAAATGAAGAAAGAGTAAATGAATAGACAAGCCTTCTATAGTGCTTCTTCTAAATTTCTCTCTAAATCCGGTCACAGAAAATAATAAATCCGGTCACAGAAAATAATAAATCCGGTTAATACTGGATTACTCAGGATCTCGCCGTTAAAAAAATACGTTTAGGAATGCATCAAAAAGTGTCGATTCGTTTGTTAAAATAAATTAGAAAAAAAAGCATGCACAAGAATAAATAAAACTAACGTTATAAATCATCTTACCTTTGAGAGAACAAAGAAATAGCTAGTGCTTTTGCCGGGCAAATTCTTCTTGGGCGTGTGTATAATAACGGAAAATAAAACCGAAATAAAATTCAAATGTCAGTGTTTGACAACAATCGATACATCCGGTCGGGACGTTCGGGTTTTGTCGTTTTTCAACGTTGTCGCGTATATTTTTATTAATTTATTCAGATATCATTATCTAATTTAATTTAAAATTTTAAGTATAATAATTTATGGGTCATAGATCATAACAAATTAATTATAGACTTTTTAACGAATTTATTAATCAAATTTGCCATATCTTATGTTGATATAAAAATATTAAATGATTAAAAAGAAACAGATAAATTCCTTCCAGTATTTTAGCTAAATTTGGCAACTATGCTGTCTGGCGAAATTGACATTCTGTGAAATGTGAAATTGACGTATCTCCTTGTTTTGATGTTTTGTATTGTAGTCATATTGTAGTATGTTCTGTGGTATTGTAAATATTGGTAAATAATGGAATCCGTTCTAAATAAAATGTATTTTGTAATATCTCTGTAATTTCCGATAATTGTTTTCAAGTGATTTCTCAATAAATATATATAATCAATAGGTATGGTGCTCGAATCAAATTCACCTGTTCATACATTATGGAAAAGTGATCGTAAGTACTCAGTTTGATAAATATGGTTGGTAAATTTAATACAATTTCTCCTAAAACACTGGATTTCGTTATTTGTATGTTTAAATTAAGGAGTGATTTATTGAAAAATATAAATTTGACGTTCAATTTAAGTTTATCGAATGCAATTGGAAGCCCCTGAACCTATTCCTATATTATGTGATGAAATACTATCCAACAAACCCAGTTATTTGGGCCAAGACTATCATGGGCCTATTTCTCATGTTCAAGCCTCAGCCCTTCTCAATTCACGGCCTAATGGGGCGTACTTAGTGAGAAGCAGTAAGTGTGCAAATGGAGAATTCTACACCTTAAGTTTAAAGTAGGTATTTAATTTGATATGATTTTGTATTACAAATTGGTTTAATAAATTAAAAAAATGGTTTAATTTTAACAGATTCCATAACAAAATTCATCATTATAAATTGTATTATGATCCAGATAATGGGTTGTATGTTAGGGAGAAAAGGTATGACTGTGCTAGGTCTTTAGTGGCCGATGGATTAATTACGATGTATTTAGAATTAAAAGCGCCAAATGTCTTGCAACGACTAGCAACAGCAAATTATCAGGAAAGCCCTTATATGACCCTAACATTGAATAAAAGAAAATTAAAGGCTCTGTCAAAACAAAATGTGATGTAAGTCTAATTTTATACTCTCAAGCGACTTAATTTAGAAATATGTTATTACACTTGTTTCAGAAATCAAAACACATTGACAATTCCAAATATACCAGACAATATACCATATTCATATCACAATTCAAACCAAAGTTTGCCAGATAAGATTGAGAAGCCACATGTTTTTAAATTGACTACATTTAAAGGTCTTAATTGGTGTGAGTTGTGTGCTAATTTCTTATGGGGATTTACATTACAAGGGAAGAAATGTGATGACTGTGGTGCTATAGCTCATAGTAAAGAAAACAAAACTTACCTTAATATAATTTACTTTAATATATTTAATTTGTAGCAAAGTGCTCTGAAAAATTTGCTAATGATTGTGTCCCAGATTTAAAGTATTTAAGAGGTGTATTTGGTATTGAATTAACAACTTTACTAAGTGCCTACAAGGCTGAACTACCTTTTGTAGTTACAAAATGTGTGGCTGAAGTGGAAGCTAGAGGTCTAACTACTGAAGGAATATATAGATTAAGTGGCTTTGCTGATGAAATTGATGCCATTAAAGTAGCTTTAGATAAAGGTGAAAATATATTATTTAATTGTTCAATTTAAAGCATAATTTTTGGTTGTTTAGATGGAGAAAAAGCTGATTTAAGCATGGAAAAATATCCAAATATAAATGTGATTACAGGAGCCCTTAAATTGTACCTTAGAATACTACCTGTTCCTTTAATAACTTTTGAAATACATCCACAGCTTATAAATGCTATTCGTAAGTAATTCAATCTGGTATTGTATGTATAAAGGTTTTTTAAATATTATTTTAACTTTTAGAGTATAATGATCTGGATTTACAATTATCTGCAATTAAACAAGCTTTAGATTCTTTACCAAAGGCACATTATGACACTTTAAAGTATATGATTCAACATTTAAACAGGTTAGGCATAAAATTAGTCATTATAATGTTGTTATTAATGATTTTTTTTTAATATTAGAGTAGCTCGACATTCGCCAATCAACAAAATGAACTCTTTAAATTTAGCAACTGTTTTTGCACCTACCTTGATACATCATCCACCAAATATCATTCCCGATGTTAGGAGTGATATATTTTTACTTGAAATTATGATTAATAATTGCAATTCAATATTTACTAACTAATATTTAACTTGGAGTACGTTAGGATGTAACTGAATATTAGTTTTAATAATTATTATGCAAAAAAAGACAATTTTCTTGCCCATAAGTTGCGTTGTAAGATATATCTCTTTGTTGTTTAATGTGATCAGATCTGTAATTGTGATATTTCTCAAAGAAAAATGAAAGTATTTTTTATTTATATTTAGTTTTTGCCTAAATTGTAACAGACATTCCTAAATTTATTTGATATTTGTGTTTCAGTTTACATGAAACTATTAAGTTTGGGTAAAAATATAAAGACGTTTCTTTTTATGATAAACAGTAATAAATAATATATATTAATACATTTTCTAAAAGTTTTTTAAACATATTGTATGAATTTTAATAAAATAATTCTATAAACTAGATGGTGTGTTTATGTTCGACAACAAATATCAAACATTTATATTTAAATATTCTCAATTTATTTCTTTTTTATGAACATAATACCTACATTAATTTCAGGTTTTAATTCCAAATAAAACTATTACAGAGTTAAAAACTGACTTTTTCACAGAAAATATTTACGATTTCAATATCTCTGTAACAGAATTTTTGGTTGCATACACTCGATAATTATTCTCCAAGACTATTCATTTGAAAACTCCTATATATTAAAAACAAAATATAAAATTAATAAAACTATTATATTTTTGTTAGAAGTTATTTTTCTACAAATATTGGTATGCTATTATAAAAATTGCACTCTAAAATCTAATATACATAATAATAATAGTTTTGTACTAACAATTCTTGTACATTTAAATCAATTTACAACTGTAGATATTCGAGCAGCTTCAAAACGACTTTATCTTGTTCGGTAAAGACACATATACCTGTTTTATTAATGGCAGAATCATATTCCTTCAAGATCTTTTTAGTTGTTACTGATCTAGAGCTAGAGTTATCTGATTCTTTCAAATGATTTTCACATTTTACTCTTATATTCTCATTAGGAATTTGGATATGGTCAGGATCACTCTGATTTCCATAATATATATAAGTGACATTAGCAGAAATATTCTCGCAAAGTTTGATGTAGTCCTCAATTTCGATGTCCAAAGTTGGAAAGAATTCAGTGGTGGGTTCACAAATTATGGTGTTGTTCTCGAAGACCATCTTTACAGGGTGCGATGATAAACAAAGTGTCTCGTTGATGGAATTGTAGTTTTTAATGAAACAGAAATCGGATTGTTTCATAGGCTTGAAGGCTGTTAAGGATTCTAATGCGTTTCCATTACAATGTCCATTTTCTTTTGATACCTCGCCTTGACAAGTGAAGATCCAGCGGTTTCTATGAATGAATTTCTTACCTTAAAACGTCATAAATTTTCTTAGTAGCTATTCTTATTTTCAACGATAAAAATAGTATCTAATATATTTCAGATAAAATTGAATCACCTTGATATTCCTGGAACGAAAATCTCATACTGGAAACCTCTGGTATGTGGCTTTTTCAGAACAGTGTGTAATAAATATATTACTGTCATACAAAATGATATGCTATAGATTTTTAGCTATAGTCTGTTCAAAGAAAGAATCCCGGACAGCACAGAATATACCGGGTATGTATTAAAAGTAATGCACCCCTATAACTTCTTTATTTTTTCAAAAACGAGATTTGGTATGTTAGTATATATATGACATAAATTAGAATTAATTGACGTATTCAATTGTTTTTGGTAATTTTCTTTTTTGCCGGAAATGACTACAACTTTATATTTTTAAATAACACCCTAGGTATTTATTTTTTACTTTATATGATAGAAAATGACAGTCTGAATAGAGTGACATATCACATGTCAACTTTTGACATGGGTTTAAATATAAATCCGTCATGCGTCGTGTCTTGTTGTTTTTAACCAGTTTTATTGGTTTATTTAAAAAATGACAGATCGTATTTCAATTTTATTGGTTTGACGGAACGATGAACGACAAACGGACGCCGATGCGTATGAACTCGCCTTTAGATTTTTGTCATTTTTGACGCTTGTCAAAGTCTTGCCAAATTATAGGTTATAATTTTGTGTCAACTTTTGTTAAATACCCTGCGTTTTGGAAGATGATGCATTTTGATTCGTATTATTACGTGTGTTTTGTGTCTTTTGAAGTCAAGTGGAGGAAAAATCGAGTGAAAATTAACTGTAGACCCAGAGCACAGTTTATGGTTAATACTCGCTGCCCAGGCAGAAAGTCTTATACACCAATGAAGTTGCCATCGATAAAGTTTGTATACCATTTCGTCGTAGATAAGTGCATCTCGTATATGGTAGAAGGATCAAACTAAACACATACTAAAAACTGGAGTAGCTGTAAAATATCGACATCACACGATAGGTAAATAATGGATTTTAGTACTGCAGAAAAATAATGTCAAAAGAAACAAAATTAAGATTAAAGTTAATTAACCAACCTTTAAGGTATAAAATTTGGTAGGTGTTATTATTAATAAAATAGTTTGTTTTATTTACCTATGTTGTTTTATTTATTCCTGTGGAATATTACAAATTTTGTATTTGTACATAAGTTATATTGATAAATATAATCATAAATGCGGGTAGTTTCATAAAGCTTGAAAGTAAATAATAGTTCTTTTTTATATTTTTTTGGTATGTAGTGTCTTGTTCTTGTTTGTTTTGTATTAACACATACCGTTTTTATTAAATAAAATAACTCGATTACATTTTTTCAGTTTTATACAGTTTTTTCACAATATTTTGAAGTAATCACTTGTCATCTTGTCAATCAAATTTTAAATATATCCTGCTATGCGTTCCAGTTGTACCAACTTATTTCTTTGTAAAATAAAATAAACTACTTTGAAATTAAAATGACAGACACATCTATCACTGTCAAGGATCTTCTCGTTGGACAGACTATATATGACATAAATTAGAATTAATTGACGTATTCAATTGTTTTTGGTAATTTTCTTTTTTGCCGGAAATGACTACAACTTTATATTTTTAAATAACACCCTAGGTATTTATTTTTTACTTTATATGATAGAAAATGACAGTCTGAATAGAGTGACATATCACATGTCAACTTTTGACATTTTTGCATAATATGGTTTATTTGAATTTGTAACATGCGGTTCTTAACGACAATTTGACTCGAAATACCAAGTGTGTGGTACCAAATTATTCGTAAAAAATGCTTTTCCCAAATATGCTAATGAGCCACCCTTGTTCTATTTGATAAAAATGATATATGATTAAAAATACGAGTATGGCTTCTTTTAACCGACCAGGACGAGACATGAAAAACATTAGACCATCAAAACTATTTTTTCTTGGTTCCTTGATTAAAAATTCGAGTCATGGCACTAAAGATTGAAATTTAAAATACCATTTGTTTAAACGAAAATGTCAAAAGCTGACATATGATATGTCATTTTATTCAGAGGCTCATTTTCTATCTCTATATTATATTCTATATAAATTCCGGTTAAACAGGAAGTGACCGAAAACAATTGAATACGTCAATCAATTCTAATTTATAACACAGTTTATATCATATACTAACATAGCAAATATCGTTTTTATATCAGAAAAAATAAAAAAGTTATAGGGATGAGCTACTTTTGAGACGCACCCGGTATAGTCTGTCCAACGAGAGGATTCCTGACAAGGAAAAAAGGTATTTTACAAGTTTATGTTCATCTGTCGAAGTCTTCCCTGGCTCGTTGGACAGATTTATGTATCTGTTTCTGTTCTGAGAATGCTTATATACAGGATGGCCCTTTAGTGCGAGGAAGTCCAATATCGTCGTTGATAAATATATGAAAACAAGTTTTATATAAATGTTACCTGGTTTATAAAGGTGCTCGAGATTTCAACTACTTTTCGAATTGGTGGCCCATTAGTGCAAGGAAGTCTAATATCGTCATTGTTGTCGAAGATATGAAGAAAAGTTTTATACAGATGTTGTATGGTTTATACTGGTGCATTCCTAAACATATTTGTTGTACACAGGGTATCACAAAAATAGGTTATAATCAAGTTTTAAGTTTTTTAAATTGCATCTCCCATTTTTCTGTATATAGATAATTGGATTCTGCATATATTACCGTATACACATACATATGGCACAAATATATACAGGGTGTCCCAGAAATAAGTGCAAGTATTTTAAGGGGTGGTAGATCTCGATAACATATTTTTTCTTTATTGTTTTTCAAATAAGTCCAAAATAACGGAGTTATTTTACTTCGAAAATTTCCAAAAAAATGATTTTTTGTTAAAATTTTGAGAACCACTGCATCTTTTCTGGATTTTCTTTCTTGTAAATTTAATCTAATACCTATGTTACCATATTATCAAGTTAAGTTTCTTAACTAAAAACTAAATGAAATTATAAAAAAAAAATTAAAAAAATCGAATTTTCAATTTTTTTTTGCGAAATAAACCTCATAGGCCTGTTTTGTTTCTGGGGTTGACCTATACTTCCAGTTAAAATACTTGCACTTATAATCTGGGAAACCGTTAAAGAACAATACACAAAATGTTTACTTTTTAATTCTGCATCTAAAAGAAAAATAATATACAGGGTGTCGTGTTTAAAAAATTGAAATATAGTATCTTAAATATTTCGTTTACTCTTATAATTTTCGTTTACTCTGTTATTCTTGGTGTTTAGGAAAATTTAGCTAAGTATTAATAGAGTTAAATTCACTGCATTTTTTGACCAGTTTTCGGATATATAGTGTTTTTAACCGTAAGTAAATACGAAATAGAATGGTAACACCGCATATAGTGCTTCAAATAAAAATAGTGTACTCTATGCAGAATTTTATGCTGAATCCAATTATCTACAGAAAAATGGGGGATGCAATTTAAAAAAAAACCTAACTCTATCATAACATTTTTTGGTCCACCTTGTATACAACAAAATATTTTTACGATAAGGAGCATTATAAAACCATGCAACTTTTTTTATATCTTCGATACCGACGACGATATTTGACTTCCTTACACTAATGGGCCACCCTGTATACTGTTTTTAACCACAGTTTTAGTAAATAAGAAATAGCATGGCAACACCGCATAGTGCTTCAAGTAAAAACACCCAAACAACAAACCATAGATATGCACGGATATACAGGGTGAGTCTTAAATAAGTGCAAATATTTTCAGGGCGGGTAGATCTCGATAAAAGAAACATATTTTCTCTTTACCATTTTTCAAATAAGTCTAAAATAACGGAGTTATTTAAGTTGGAAACATTTTGAGAGCCACCGGATTTTTTCTGTATTTGTATCCCTTTTAGTGCCATAACCATAGAGAAAAATGGTAATATCAGAGATTAAAAAATTATACCGTGGAAAAATTTGCGGTGAATAGGCAGTTCTAAAAAGTTTTCGAAAAATATACAGGGAAATTTTTTTTTGCAAAAAAAACTCATAGACGTGTTCCTGGAGTCGAAATATACCACCCCTGAAAATATTTGCACATATTTAAGACTCACCCTGTATATCCATGGTTGGCTAGTAGGGCATTGTAGTATAATATACAGAATTTTATGCCAAGTCCAATTCTGTGTATAGACAAACGGGGGTTATAGTTTAAAACACTTTGTCATTATTTTTTGGGGGACACCCTGTATAACAACAAATTATTTTTAGGATATGCACCTATATAAACCTTGCAACATTTATATAAAACTTGTTTTCATATATTTGTCAACAACGACGATATTGGACTTCGTCGCACTAATGGGCCACCCAGTAGGTATCCGCATATAGGCATATAGGATATTTGAATGAAAATTGTAAGTGAATAAACAAAAATATATTTACCACTGGGATGGTGAATTGCTATTGTTGATCCTCCCACTCCATCCTTCATTTTATCAATCAATTGCTGAGCTTTAGCTATTACGCTGATTTCGCTCATTTCTTCCGCCAATTGTTGTTGAGCATGCTCAGTGTCGTAAATTTCTACAAATTAAAGTAACTTGCATTTACCACTATAATAGCTTTAGTCAGAGCCTCAGGCTTGTATGTATTGCAAAACATTCTAATACTCCAGTATAGGTGCACATATCTATACGCTGATAGTTATTAATATACTTATAGAACAAAGTTTCTGCGTGGTAACAATACAAAGAAATAATATGTTTTAAGTGATTTATAGAAGAGTGACATATCTTAAGGTAAGTTAAGGATTTTTCTTACCTATAAAGCTCCATATTGGAAAGACACACAATATAATAAAGATAAAAGCTTTAACATTAAACATGTTTTTCGAGTGGATCGTATAAGAGAACTGCAACAAAAGGCACTTTCAGACCCGGCAAAAGGTAATTGGCAGTCTCAACAACAAAATTATTCAATTAGTCACTTTATGTATACATTCATTGCATTAAAATAGTTTTTCCTTTTCCTTTACTACAACCAAGTCATCTTAAATGTTTAAAAATTAGGAAAAAATTACACATTTTTGGGCAGTATACCTATACCGGGTGCGTCTCAAGAGTGTCTCACCCCTATAACTTTTTTATTTTTTCAGATAAAAAAAACGAGATTTAGTATGTTAGTATTTGACATGAATTAGGATTAATTGACGTACATATTCAAATGTTTTCGGCCACTTGCTGTTTCACCGGAAATGACTACAACTTTTGATTTTTAAATAACACTGGCCGCATTTTTTTTACTTCATTCGATAGAAAATGGCACTCTGAATAGAATGACATATCATGTGTCAACTTTGGACATTTTCCGATATGAATTCCAAGTGTGTGGTACCAAATTACTCGTAAAAAATGATTTTTCCAAATATGTTAATGAGCCACCCTTGTTTCATTTAAAGAAATTGAGATATGATTAAAAATACGATTTGGGCATCTTTTGACCGGCCTTAACACTAAAAACATTAGGAGATCAAATCTGTTTTTCGAAGGCTCCTTGATTAAAAATTAGTGTTTCTAACACAGCTATAGCACTCTATAGCAGTTTAAAATTCGATTTTTTTAAGCGAAAATGTCAAAAGTTGACATATGGTATGTCATTCTATTCAGAGTGTCATTTTCTATCGAATAAAGTAAAAAATACCGAGGGCGCCATTTAAAAATCAAAAGTCTAATTTACATAACATATACATACATATATACTAAAAATCTTGGTGTTTTATCCGAAAAAAACAAAAAAAGTTATAGGGGTGAGTCACTTTTGAGACGCACCCAGTTTACTGAAATAGAATTATTAGGTAGGTACCTATAGGGTGGCCCATTAGTGCGAGGAAGTCCAATATCGTCGTTGTTGGCGAAGATAAGCAAGTTTTATACAGATGTTACATGATTTATAATGGTGCATATCCTAAAATATTTTGTTGTATACAGGGTGTCATAAAAAAAGTTATGATGAACTTTTATTTTTTTATAAATTGCATCACCCATTTTTCTGTCTATTTTTATTTCAAGCACTTATACGGTGTTGTCATTCTATTTCTTATTTACTAAAACATTGGTTAAAAACACTATATCCGAAAATGGTTAAAAACTGGTGTGAATATAACTTTATTAATGCTTAATTTATTTTTAATTTATTAATACTTAGCTTTATTTTCCTAAACACCAAGGATTACAGACTAAATCCGTGATGAAAAATCGGAATCTTTAAATTGCTATATCTCTATTTTTTTTAATACAACACCCTGTATATAAATTTTTGTTTAAATGCAGTTAAAATAATATGAACATTTTTTCTATTGAAAGTGTTTCTAAATTTTTAGCCGTTTTGCAGATATTTGCTGTGTTATGTGGTGTTATATTACATATCGGGTTTTCACATATACGTATAAATAAAATATACTCAGTGTTCCCTATTTAACCCTGTGTGCTGTTTCCGTGCCATAAGAAGAAGACAACATAACTCAGCTCCATATTAATGCTGCATAAGTCTATTTCACCCGGATATCGATTGGACTGCGATTGCGCCAAACTCCGATTGATTGTTGTTTTAGTTCTGTTTGGATTACTTTTTATTTGTGCGCGTAAAAGGGTGATTTTGTTTAGTTTATTGTTTCCAACTTTTTTTTGACATTTTCCAATACCATATGATAATGTGTTATAAATAATAAAAATATAAATAAAATTGAAGGTTAGGTGAAATGTCAGTCAACCACTTCCCTTTAAAAACACCGACCAATGAAAACTTCTTCAGGTAAGACATGCGCAGTTAAATGAGTATCCGGGTGAAATAGACTTCTACAGAATTCCATATTTCTCTTTCACTGTTTGGGCTTCACTTTTTAGAGATTAGGCTGAGTATATTTAGTTATATGTATATGGGTTTTCAACGGTAAAATACCAGAGTAATAATAAAGATCATATTAGGTGACTGATTAAAATGTACTGTTGGAAGAGCCATATATAATATGATACCGCGAATATCTGCAAAACTGTTCACAATTTAGTAACACTTTAAATACAAAAAATGTTTACTTTTTAATTCTACATCTAAAAGAAAAATAATACACAGGGTGTTGCATTTAAAAAGATTGTGATATAGCAATTTAAGTATTGCGATGTTGTTGTAGTTTAGGAAAATATAACTACCTAAGTAATAAAGTTAAATTCACTCTAGTTTTTAACCACTTTTCGGATATAGTATTTTTAACAAAAGTGTCAGTAAATAAGAAAAAGTATGATAACACCGCGTAGCGCTAGAAATAAAAATAGCGTACTATATGCAAAATTTTATGTTGAATCCAAATCTGTACAGAATACAGAAAGATGGGGGGTGGCATTTAAAAAACTTAAAACTTTATCATAACTTTTTTTTACATACTCTGTATAAAACAAAATATTTTTAGCATATGCCCATAAATCATGCAACATCGGTATGAAACTTTTTTCTTGTCTCCGAAAACGACGACGATATTGGACTTCCTCGCACTATTGGACCATTTTGAATATATTTTAGGCAAAGGCATTACGATTTAAATAAACTTTTTATTAAACAATGTAACAGTAACATTTTCAACTATTATCAATTTAAACAACTAATATATCTGCGGTACAGAATTAGGATTATTATCTTTCATAGTTATTGCTGCTAGAAGTTTGGATGGATCAGAATCCGGCTGACCCAATTCTAAGTAACCGTTTAACGAGTAGTTGAACAATTCAAAGTCGAACCTGAAATTAAAAATTAAAACACATATATTGTTTTTTTCGAAACAGTAGAAAATGTATAAATATTAAATACAGGTTGGCACATCTCATGCGACACGGTGCTCCAAGGAGAAGGACAGTTTGTATTGAAATGAAATTTTGTGAACATATATCGTCGCTTTCCACAGAGTCTCGTAACGTCGTAACTGATATTTTTAAAATTTTGCAGTAGAGTAAAAAAAAATATTTTAGTGTGACTAAGGATTAACTTTTGTTAAATATTCCATTTATTTTGTCTCCTACAAGAAGAACAACCGTTGTACTACTCTGATAGGAGCGTTCCCTGTTAAGCTTGTCGCCCATTTGACCGTCACGTCCCGTCCCGTTGCGGCCCGTCAAAATGCGAATAGGATTAAAACTATGCAAATGTAGATATAGAGCGTTCTACAGGGTGTCCCCAAAAATGTTACACATCAAAGTTGTGTTTTTTGTAATGGAACACCCTATATATTAATAATTGATTTTCGGATTCTAGGAGAAAAATAAAGGTGAGTTTTATTAGAAAGTACCGTATGATCGAAAAAAAATCGGCGTCCAGTTGGCTGGGAAATGACGCTCGATGACATTTCCCAAATAAATTTACTTATGAAAAGACAGCGATCTTCAGTTCATAGCCATCGCTGACGCCGTTTTTTTTCGATCATACGGTATATGACTAAAATGTAAGGTTTTTGACATATTTAACATTTAGTTCAGTCATTGGGGATTTTTGCTTGGAAAAAAGTCCGGAAGTTTTGCAACTTTGCAGGTTTATAGGTTTTGGGGTCCCTAACTAAAATCCATAAAATGCACATTTCCAGACTTGCCGCCGGCGGCGCCATCTTGCGCCCAAAATCGGTATTTTGTGAATATCTCGAAAACTATGCGTTTTCCGCGAAAATTTGAGGAGAGCAAATTAAAGAGAATAAAATTTCCTATAAAAAAGATTTATTAAGATTTTCGCTAAAGTCAACCGTTTAGGCACAAAATCCCAGGAAATTTTACAATTTTGCGTAAAATATGATATATTATGCATAGTGGATTTTCCGAAATCAAATGTCGATTAAGGTTTACTAAAACTAGTTTTAGTTTAGTTTTTTTCAATTTTGTCATAAAACAGTGGCGTATCATTAATTCGCTCATTAATTTATGAATAATTAATTTTAATTATTGAAAATTTGTACTTGTTTCCACACCACCCAAGAGGTAAAGTATATGGCACGTTTATTTTAACGTGGTCTCCCCGGAGGCCTACTCGCATAGATAAATTAAAAAGTTTAACTTATCTGCACAAGCCCGACGGATCTGGCTCATTGATGTCAAAGTCGATCTGCTGTGCTGGGCTCAACAGGGTGGTCTCTCAATACGTCCAACATTTCATCTTCAGCCGCCAGAGGCATATCTACAGGCAAGTCCAACTCCTCTTCATCGGATTCGTCGAGTGACACTTCAGTGACGTTGTCACAGGATCTCCCATTGCAGTATGCACAAATCATTGAACATTTTAGTCCTGCTTTTCTGCATCCGCAGGCTTTACCATAGTTGTTGGTTTTGCATTTACAGGATAAAAATGCCAACAGGGATTTTGGAGCTGGATCTTTCAACGTTGTGACTGGAGTAATGCCTGTTTTTGTTTTCTTCCAACCCCATTCTTCGGCATCTTTGGTACAACCAGACCAATGCTGAACCTGGTGGTAAGTTCGTTAATGAATGCTGTCCAGCACAATTATTTATTCATAAATTAATGAGCGAATTAATGATACGCCACTGTTTCCTGACAAAATTGAAGAAACTAAACTAAAACTAATTTTAGTGAACCCTAATCGACATTTGATTTCGGAAAATCGACTATATAATATTAATATAATATTTTACGCAAAATTGTAAAATTTCCAGGGATTACTGTTGACTTTAGTGAAAATTTTCATAAAACATTTTTTATAAGAAATTTTATTCTCTTTAATTTTGCTCTCCTCAAATTTTCGCGAAAAACGCATAGTTTTCGAGATATTCACAAAATACCGATTTTGGGCGCCATCTTGGCAAGATGGCGTTGCCGGCGGCAAGTCTGGGAATGTGCATTTTATGGATTTTAGTTAGAGACCCCAAAACCTATAAACCTGCAAAGTTTCAAAACTTCCGGACTTTTTTCCAAGCAGACCCCTTTTTTGATCCCCAATGACTGAACTAATTGCTAAAAATAAAGAATGAGAGAATTTTTAAATTTCAATTAAACCTACCTAAATTGGGATTTACACGGTATAGCCTAATATGTAGTTAAAATAACTACTGTTGTTGTATTGACTAAGAGTGGGTCCCATGGAACCCTCGACTGCGGCCTAAACCAATAATTACTGGACTCATATCAAAACTTCACCCAAAAAGTTATACATATGGTGAGACAAAATTAATATTGAATATTGGTCACATTTAACAGCAAGTTACCCTTTTATTTTAAATTGAACACCTAGTATATCAAAATAAAACACTAAATCATCACAATACACCAAAACACTTTTTCTTTTGCACTGGACGTGTGTTTCGCTAACCATGTCAGCAGATGATTAAAATTAAACCGTTGTGAGTTTAGTTAAGTTCTGCTGATGATGCTAACATTGTTAGCGAAACGTAAAAGTGTTTTGGTGATGTATTGTGATGATTTAGTGTTTTATTTTGCTGTTGTAACACAAAAGGTTTCAACCCTCAACATTCAAATCTCTTCAAAATAAGGTTGCCTACCCATCAAAACAGTAGAAAATTTCTAGAATTTTTGTTTTCTAGATATTTTCATTTTTATGATATAGATTCAGGATCTATATTCTTTGATAAAATAGGTGGCTGTGATATGTCTGACATTTATTCAACGTAGCTGTCAAATTAGTTCAATTTGAACAACTACTTTTCGAGTCAAAATTTAATTTGGTTTAACATACAATGGTTATTGTAATTAAATATCAGGCAATACAGGTTAAATTACAGTTTAGATAGCTGTTAATGAAGTTTAAAATATATTCTTTTTTTGGGGAACACCCTGTAGAACTCTATATATTTCTATAGAATGCTTTCAATTAACCTACATATGCTCCCAAAATTTCATTTCGATATAAACTACCGTTTTCCTTGGATATATATACTACACCCCCTATATAAGTGGGTGTATAAACTACACCCCCTCCATGTCGTATGAAAGGCGGTACCCTGTACACTAAAGAACAGCACGCCACAACACAATGAAAGTTTCTGTCCGCGTAAAAAAACAGCTTTTGCTGACAATTGTTTACAGAAACCCACATTTCGAGTATTATCAGTAATCGTCGATTGGTTGGTTTTGTTGATTCATTGATTCATTCATCTCTTTGAGAAGGATAAATCTTCGTTCCAGCTTTATTGTCTTTTATGTATATCTTGCGGACGTTCTAGACCAGATGTGCTGTATCTTTTCTAAATTAATTATATTCACCTGTAAATGTGATAGAGTTGCAAAATCTGAGATCGAGTTAGTTGCGAATAATGCTTATGTATTTGAGCGGTAGTTGATCCTTTCCCAGCGTTCTTCCATTGTGGTTTGATTATTTTTTCTAAACCGGCCTTCTTGATCAAAAACGCCTGGTCTTCTTCTAGCGTTTCCGTGTGAGCAATTATCTGAAAAAGAGCACACAGTATCAATAACTGCCAAATAAAAAAATGTGTAGCAACAAATTCCTTTGTTTAATAAAACCGGACACTGAAAATATCTCAATAGCTTGAATTTATTAAATTATTTTAGTTATAAAAACTAAGATATTATTGTAATTGTTTATTATTAACGGATGGTACCTGAATATTAAACATGCACGGTGTGCAAAATTCTACTATAGGTGTCCAATGCATGTCCAAGGAATGACCTGTTCTAACAGAATCCACAAGCCAATCTACGAACTCTGGATAAGTCGGATAAACAGGACTGTCGCTAGCTGTCTAAAAAGAACACAGAAGTAATTTTTTTTTCAAGCATTTTCAATTATAATACCGGGTGCGTCTCAAAAGTGACTCACCCCTATAACTTTTTTATTTTTTCAGATAATAAAACGAGATTTGGTATGTTAGTATATGACATAAATTAGGATTGATTGACGTATTCAATTCTCTTCGGCCACTTCCTGTTTCACCGGAAATGACTACAACTTTTGATTTTTAAATGGCACCCTCGGTATTTTTTTACTTTATTCGATAAAAAATTACATTCTGAATAGAATGACCTCTCATATGTCAACTTTTGACATTTTCGCATAAAACAAAATTATATTTTAAATTTCAATCTAGAGTGTCATGGCTTCTGTGGTCAGGGCTGTGTTTAAAACACTAATTTTTAATCAAGGAGCCTTGGAAAAATAGATTTGATCGTCTAATGTTTTAGTGTCTTTTCCTGGCCGGTTAAAAGTTGCCCAAATCGTATTTTTATTCATATCTCAATTTTTTCAAATGGAACGAGGGTGGCTCATTAGCATATTTGGAAAAAGCATTTTTTTACGAATAATTTGATACCACACACTTGGTATTTTGAGTCAACTTGTCGTTATGAATCGCGTGTTGCAATTTCAAATAAACCATATGCGAAAATGTCAACAGTTGACATGTGATATGTCATTCTATTCAGAGTGTCATTTTCTATCAAATAAAGTAAAAAAAGACTGAAGGTGCCATTTAAAAATCAAAAGTTGCAGTCATTTCCGGTGAAACAGGAAGTGGCCGAAGAGAATTGAATACGTCAATCAATCCTAATTTATGTCATATACTGACATACCTACCAAATCTCGTTTTATTACCGGTGCCAAAATCAAAACTTGTAGTCATTTCTGGCGAAACCGGAAGTGACCAAAAACAATAATTGAATACGTCAATCAATCCTAATTTATGTCATATTAAAGTTAAAGTAAGTTTTACATTGAAGAAAAAACTTGGTACACCACTGACTTCTCTTTAAATAAAAATAATTTTCAAAATCTCCATTCATTTCTAAATAATTTTTATCTCTTGATTTTTTCCATCGGAGGCATAGTTTTTACTTAAAAAAAATTAAAGTCAGTTTACTTCAGGGTCAAATCGCTGAAAATCTGATCCGGTGACTGTTGCGTGGATATCGTTTGTGCGTAGGCTGGAAGGAAATTAAGAAATAAAACTTTTTTTTGTGTGTAAAATGTATATCAAAATATGCATTTTGATGCATGGAAGACGTGTACCAAAAAAAAAAACGTCAGAGATATTTTGATAAAAAAAATCGAAAATTTTACCACCTTGTATCTGAAAAGTTAAGATGTTTAGGATATACAGTCATATGAAGTGTTTTTTTCTTAGAATAGGCTCAAGAATCACCACCTTAAATATTAGCATGTCATTAAGGAACATCCTGTATACCTGGTACGTCTCAAAAGTGGCTCACCCATTTGGTATGTTAGTTAGGTTAGTATTAGTATTAATTTATGTCATAAATAAATTAAGATTGATTGGCGTATTCAATTGTTTACGGTCACTTCCTGTTTAACCGGAAATGTCTACCTTTGATTTTTAAATAGCACCCACGGTATTTTTTACTTATTCGATAGAAAATGACACTCGGAATAGAATGACATATCATATGTCACTTTTTGACATATTCGCTCAAAAACAAATTATTGTATTTTAAATTTCAATCTAGAGTGCCATGGCTGTGTTAAAATCACTAATTTTTAATAAAGGAGCCTTGGAAAAATAGATTTGATCGTCTAATGATTTTAGTGTCTTGTCCTGGCCGGTTAAAAGATGCCCAAATCGTACTTTTAACCATATCTCGTTTTTTTTTCAAATGGAACGAGGGTGGCTCATTAGCATATTCGGAAAAAGCATTTTTTACGAATAATTTGATACCACACACTTGGTATTTCGAGTCAAATTGTCGTTATGAACCGCAAGTTAAAATTTCAAATAAACCATATGCGAAAATGTCAAAAGTTGACATATGATATGTCGTTCTATTCAGAGTGTCATTTTCTATCGAATTAAGTAAAAAAATACCGAGGGTGCTATTTAAAAATCAAAAGTTGTAGTCATTTCCGGTGAAAACGGAAGTAACCGTAAACAATGGAATATGTCAATCCATACTAATTTATGTCATATACTAACATAACAAATCTCGTTGTTTTATCTGAAAAAATTAAAAATTATAGGGTTGAGCAACTTTCGAGACGCACCCGGTATATTTCTCACATAATTATATACTCTCTTAGTAGTTGGGCCTATTGTTGTCTATTGTTGGCTATCCGGGCCCAATTTACCCCTGCTAATTTTCTAATATCATGTCTCATCTCAGGTTTGGCCTTTATCCAGGTCTCTTAATTCCTCGTGTGTACTATTCTGGCTGTATTTAGTTGCATTTGTGTGTAGTTCTTCAGGACTATTGGCAATTGGGCAATTGAACTTTCATCAGCGAATCTTAGATGGTTAAGATATTCCCCGTCTATTTTTAATCCTTTGTTGGTCCAGGCCAGATGACGGAAGATTTCTTCTAGTGTTGCTGTAAACGGCTTTTGGGATATCGCGTCTCCCCGTCGCGCGTCGTACTCTGGGGTTGTTTTATATATCATTACTCTTGCTTTGGCCTGTCAATACCTTGTTTTGCTAGGACTTCTATTATTGCTTTAGGATATTATCGAATCAAGAATATTCCCAAAGTCTATAAAAGCTGTGGCTCGTGGAAAGAGGGATGATAGTTTCTCTATGTATATGCATGTGATCAATCGTGCTGAAACCGCTTCTAAAGCCTGCTTGTTCTCGTGGTTATGTAGCGTCTAACGTATTTTGTCCGGTGTTGTTTATTATTTTTGTGAATATCTTGTATAATACTGGTAGTATAGGCTTAATGGTTTATAGTTTCTGATGCCTTCTTTGCTGCCTTTCCTATGAATTAGAATTATGTTGGCGTTATTCCGTCGTTCCCTGTTGCTTTTCCATTTGTCATACCTTGAAGTGCCTTTTCTACTTCTCCCACGGGAACATCTAGGGCGTCGTCTTGTGGTAGGGGCAGTCTTTCTTCTTCATGTATGTTTTCTGGGGCTTATAGGTCGTTGTAGAATTTTATTAGCAGGCTTATTATTTCGTTTTTGTATGTTACTCTGATGTTGTGTGTTAATGCTATTAGCTGCTTCTTTCCGATTATGAGGGATAGCGTTCGTATAGCTTTTTCTGCGTTCGATTGCAGTTTGTACGAGTAGTTCATTGTAGTTTTTCATATTGAGAAAAAACATAGACACAAAATATTGAGATATAAATAAAAGGAATTAAAGACCAGGAGTTGAAGTTTATGAGTGTCTATATTTCGCAATGTCCAGAATGCGGGCTCTTTCACAAAAAATATAATACTCAATTCAAGGACAAAATCCGAAATAGAAGACTATTTTCAGTATATTTATACAAAAAAAATAGTTCCATGACATTGAATAATTTCTTATAGGCCCTCAAAATTGCTTTAATTTGGAATAATTTTAAAGTGCCAATTGATGACGTATAAAAAATTCGCCCAATCACATTGCAGAACCGTGCTCGTGGGCCAGCCAACAACTGGCAACATTGTGATTTGATTTGACGTGCATGTTGAACAATAAATTTGAGGTTAAATTTTTTGTTTACTCCGTTTGTGAAAGCTTGTAATCAAATTTTAAGTTTTAAATTGTTATTTTTTGATAATTTGTTCCATCATGGTCGTACCAGAACCTGAATTCGAAAAAGCGTCATCTGATAACCTTCCTAAAGTTGACGCCGAAATGGTTAAATTTTAAATGGGTTAGCATGGTGGCCCGGCGGTGTTGCCGCTTTTCAACATGCCAGGTGTGACGTATTAAAAATAAAGTTTTTATTCTGGGCTTTTTTGTTTTTATTTATTTTCTTAAGAACGACTTCAAGTTTTTCGAAAGTGAAATAGCAGAAAATTCTACAATTAATTGCTTTATTCAATTATGCGAATTCCAAAATATAGTGAAAGAGCCCATTGGACATTCCGAAAGAAAAAATAGAAGAAAATGGCTGATACGTATCGTATTGTTTTATAGAAATAGAATTAATATAAACGTTATGTTAAATATAACATAGAGTTTGAAAGGCCTTTTGAGAAAAGGTGATGATATTTTTCGAGTATCTATATAATAAAAAAATACTTGCCTTTTTGCGATACTTCCATATAATTTTTTTCCCTAATTTTCTGTGGACCGATCCGGGAACGGCATACTGTATCTTATCCCTGTAAGCCGATAGAAGCCTTTCCAGAGGATGACGAACGATCAGGAAAGACAGGGAACTATTTAGAGACCTTTTCAAAGCTGATAAAGATGGACGGCCATATTTTTGTCTCGCTAATGTCATTGGCGGAGTGCGACTGTTGCGTAAAAATTTCGGACTATATCTAGAAAAGAGAAAAAGGCTTCAAAAAGGTTTATTCCAATATTATATTATACCACTCTTCATCACCAAGTAGATCCTACACCTAAAAAAATTGTGTGTGCACTATGTGCGCATATTTGAAGTGAAACTTTTTACTAGCAGCTATTAAATTGGAGGATTTGCAGGACATGTTTAAAAAAGTATAGTTTGAAATGTTGAAAAAGTATAAATTAAAAATTAATAAATAATTTGATTCACTTTCACAAAATTAGTATTAAAACGGCCGTCTGTCTGTCTGCGAGGACTCCATTAAGAAAAAACCTGATGATTTCTCTATTTAGAGGCATCAGTTCGACACGTCGCGGGCGTCATCCTGTCCTGTCGGCCCACATTTTTCTTCAATATTAAATTCTTAGTCCCACCCTGATGGAGATGTAAATGAAACGTCGCGTCGTATCCCATTTTGCAGGATGGGACCGTGTGCACCAAAAAATCTATGGTGTGCACCGTCGCTCACATAGCCTACCTACCAAATTTGGTCGCGATCGGACCTCAACTTTTGACATTTCTTACGTCAAAACTAACTGTCACAGTGACACGTGTCGTACACGGTCAAGTTGGCCTTGGCCTAATCTATCAACATACCAAATTTCATTTAAATCGGACGACTTTTTCTAAGCCGTAGGCTGTCCTTACCACTTTTTTTCTCGCCTGTTGTGTCGCGTGTCGTGTCACGGCCTTGAATTTTTACTACGAGCGCGCGTAAAAAGTTTCGCTTTAAAAATACTTGATTTTATTAAAATTTTTGATACTAACCCAGCTAAAATGTTAAAGTTGTACATCCAAGATGTACTGGCCGCTTTGAAAACGTTACACCACACCAAATGATGCTTGTCGTTGATCAAATACTCCCAGGGGTTCGGTTTGTGCAAGGAATCGTTTCCAACCTTGTCCAGGCCCAAAATGCGACAGGTCTTCTTCAGGTATTTTTGTCGAAAATCCAGTCTTTTCGCCACCGCAGAAAGGTTTTTGTTTTTGAGGTCGTGAAAAGGAATATGTCGGTCTTCGGTGAAAGGCTGCAAAAGGATAGATTTAGCTGACATAGTTAAGTAAAAAGTAATAAATAATAACTACTCCCAGCTAGTGGTGTAAAATTTCCAGAAATATATTTTCGGAAATATTTCCGGAAATATTGGAAATATATGGAAATATTGGAAATATATGAAATATTTTAAAAAATAAGAAAAACTGAAATATTTATTTATAAAAAACATAACAAAACATCGCAAAACACAAAATGCTTATACATAAACACAAATAAAGAGTTATTCTTCAAATTAAAAAATAAATTAAGGTTAAATTTGTACAAAAAAAATATTTTTGACACACTAGTCGAGCAAGAGGCATATCTTTATCGCTGTCATCAGCATGATCAGCATCACACTCAATAACATCTTCTTGCCAGTCTGCTTCCTCAAAATCTTCAATAGTATCGGAAATAAAAATTGATCTATTGCCGTTTCCTATTTTCTTTAGCAAGTTTTCATTGTGGGTTACATAGAGTAGCTTAGCGGCTCTATCATTAGTAAGCCTGTTTCTCTTTTTTGAATGAATATGACTATAAACGCTAAAACTGCGTCCCGTGGCATCATCAACATTCGTGAAGCTACTTGTGATAATGAAGATGAAGAACACAGTCCCTTCCACCAGGAGACTGGGTTATCAAAACTACTTTTCCATATGAAGTTATTTCCAAATAACTTGCCACTTCTACAACTTTAATCTGCTATTTCATCTATTATTTCTTGCTCCTTTATATTGAGTTTATTTTTTGATATATTAAGTATGCATTCTATGGCAGAAAGAATTTGGGTTTCATCAAGTGCAGAACCTTGTGATTTTGGATTTGGTAATTCTGCAACATAATGAATGGGTTTAATAGCAAATTTTTCTCTTTTGTCAACAAACTCCAACAATTCGGATTTTTCTTTGTCGTCAAGTGAGGACAATGCAAGATTATTCTGAATTACCCTTCTAATATCACAAAATGCTTTTACAGCAAAATGAATAGTGCTATAATCTCCTTCTACAATTTTTAACCATTTCCAATAGGTTCAAAAATGTTAATTACGTTGGAAATTTGGGCCCAAAATACACACACCGGAAAAGTCTAGGGATAATACAATTTTATCCAGCCATCGTCAGTAATTTTATTATTTACATTTCTGATATAATAAAATTAAAATAAACAAATAGTTTACAGGACGTATTGGAAATGAAAATGCGAAATTTACCGAATTTTTCAAATTTACCTTGATTTTTATTGAACCCAAAATAATTCACACATTTTTTTTTAATTCTAAACTGTGAATTAAAAAAAAGACAAAACCATTTTTACTTAATAAAGGGTATGGCCTCCTCTACTGTTCATCACAGCCCTACATCGTCTCTCCATGCTCCTGATCAGGTTGTCGATCTCTTCTTGAGGTACAGCCTGCCACGCTGCATTAACGGCCCGAACCAGATCCTTACGAGTTTCACGAGGCATACCCATTCTCAAAATTCTTCTTTGGACCGCGTCCCATACTTGCTCGATGGGGTTGAGGTCAGGAGATTGTGCCGGCCAGGGTAAGATGTTTAATTGATGAGCATTGATAAACTCACTTACCACTCTGGCTGTATGAGGCCGTGCATTGTCATGCATGAGAATGAAGTTTCTCCCAAAATCATTGGCATATGGTAACACGACAGGCTCAAGAATTGAATCACGATATGCGATTCCTGTTAGAAACCTTTAAAGAAAAACGAGATCGGTTTTTCGGCCTAACTGGACCCCTCCCCAGACCATAACTGTTCCACCTTGATAAGGGTCCACTTCCTGATACAACCGAATAAGATTTCCCGGTTCTCTCCATACCCTAAGCCTTCTCGAATCCAGATGAATTCCAAAGCGTGACTCATCCGTGAAGAGAACATTGGCCCATTGTTCATTCGACCACTGAACATGATCTTGAGCCCACAAATCTCGTACCTCTCGATTTCCTCTCGTTAAGGGTTGAGCTCTACAGGGGCGTCTGCTTCTTAAGTTGACTTCTCTTAATCTATTGCGAACAGTGTCAGGACTAACGGATACATTATGTGTTTCTTTAAAGTAAATTAAACTAAGCTCTGGTGCTGTAAGAGTCGGTCGGCGTCGAGCATTTAATTGTAAAAAATGATCTTGCTGAGGGGTAGTAATGCGATGTCGCCCTGTGTGCCTTTCAGCGACATCACCACTTTCACGCCATCGCGATATTACACTTTGCGTTGTATTTAATGCTCTAGCTACGTCGATTTGGCGCATTCCAGCTTCGAGCATACCCATGGCCCTTAGCATTTCGTCTCTGTTAAGATGTCTACGCTCCATAATGTCGTTTAATACTAAACAGAGTTATTTGAATTAATTCTGGCCAATTATCATAAAAACATAGCCAGTACAGGTTAAATTCGAACAATTGATGCTAGTGCTTTTTATACATTTGACAAAAAATGCACAAACACTTCTGAAAATATCTCAAATTTAGAAATAGCTAGTGTGACTACTTCGTTTCAATCGAAGTAGAAAGAATCGACCTACAATTTATTTTTAACTTTAATAAAATGATATCCCTAGATTTTTCCGGTGTGTGTACTTCGTCATCTAATATCCACTGTTTAACATTTTTATCAATCATTTGTGTTGTTTCTTGACTAACTGCAACTCCTTGTAAACTGAGCCTAGTATTGTATACACTTTTTAAATTGGTCAAAATTGAAGACCAGCGAGTTTTTACTACGCTACGACTTACGAGCTCGGAACTTCCTCGTAGAAATGCGAGGTTGCAAATAAGTTGGTAAATCCTCAAATTCGATATATTCACCATATTTTATATGTTTCTAAAACTGTTCTATAGTAAGTTTAATGTTTATAGGGTTACAAAATATGAAAGATATATTAATAAACATCGGGTTTGAATCGTTAATGACAAGATTTAAGTATTTTTAAAAATATTTCCAATATTTCCAAGACACGTTTGGAAATTTCCAATATTTCCATTTACAACACTACTCCCAGCCTCCTAAAATAATTGTAACTCTAAAAAAATAGTTTACTGTAGTTTATTACGTAGAAGGAAAAATAATGTCTATTAGGATTTTTTTGGAAAAGTAGATGTATTAACAAAACGCCGCGTCCTGAAAATGCACTTTACAAAACCGTTCCTTTTTTGAGATTTACACTTTTTTTAATATTTATTTATCATAAATAAGGTAAAAAATGCATTATTTCACTTTATAAAGGTGCGTCCACCCCGCTGCGTCGCGCCGCGCAAAACATTTTTTTAACATGTACTTGTGAAGTGTATTTTTTTAGCGCGCAGAAAAGTAGATATATGTTAAAAATGATTTGCGCGACGCGGCGCCGAGCGGCGCAGCCGGTGCGCACCTTAACATACATCAACATAGTTCAAAAAAAAATATTATTATTTTATTTAATTTAATCTAACCAGTTAATTTTGATTTCCATCGTGTTATCTTAATAAACCGCACTGAAAATAAACTTCTGCAGCTCTAAGGCAACACGCAGTTAATTAAAGTTAATAAGTATTTGTAGGACTTAAAATAAAATGTTCTTTTAAGTCTATGAGTTAATGACAATTTTGATGCAAATTGACTTCGTATCACGAGCGGTCGATCTCTACGTGTCGTTATTTTATGTCTGTTATTTAGAAGTAGCAACGGTTACATTATGTTATTTCTAAATAACTGTTATAAAATAACAGATAGTTAAATAACAACTCTACTCTATGGAACTCAGTTTTCACCTTTTCGATAAGTTACAAACTAACAGAGATACAAAGGGGACCAAGAATGAAAACATTTTCTAATTTACCCTGTATTTGAGGAAATAAAAGGACTAGGACAAATTTCTGTGGAGCATCTTTAGTTTCGAGATCTACTCATAAACGGAAAATACTGAAATCGGACACCCTGTATATGTTGGTGTGTAAACCAATAATATGTACTGATATCTGAGCGAGTTATATATCTATGACTTTCCCATGACTTACTTTGCGCATTCCAAAAGACATAGGCCTTACCGGCCTGATATAGTGATCCGTGGCCACGATGAAAACCAAAAACACAGGGACTAAACAGATAACGGTAAAAAATATCACACATCTTCTGGCCACTCTCCAACCGCTGTTGTGGGTTCTCCTAAGTTTTCTCAGTCTCATTCTCCCCTGATACCATTATTTTGTTTGACGTTGCTTTGATTCTCTCGATATTTTAGCTGTTGTTAGTCGTCCATCTTAATATTTTTGATTTTCTTAGTGTTTATCTATAAAAAAATGTTAATAAATACAGTGTCCGACAATAGTGCGTCGGGCATCTAGATCCTAGCATAAAGATCTTGGGAATTTTGTTTAAGTGCAAACTTAAAGTATGAGTATATTTATTTTAGATAGTCTGTACTTACTTTCCTATAAATATCGGAATCTTAAATCATACAGGGTGTTCAAAATTCTACGCCAAACTTTCTAAAATATAAAATTTTTTTTTTTTATTTTTTTAAATGGTATACCCCGTATATATTAGTTTAATAGATGGAGAATTAAAAAAATGATAATTTTTTGTATTTAGACTATTTACAAAATTTTGACGGTTTTGCAGATATTCGCGACTTTATATTTCATACGGCATTTTTCACAATAATGTTTTATCAGAGCCACCCAATGATTTTTCTCTCGTATTTTACCGTTGAAGTAGCCATATGAAATAATACCGCGAGGTATCTGCGAAACCGTTAAATTGTTATTTTGTTCCATTTAAAAAAAACGAAGTAAAATTATTTATATTTTAGAAAGTTTGGCGTAGAATTACAAAATCATAAACACCCTGTGTGATTTAAGAATACAATATTTATAGCAAAGTAAGGACCGACCATCTAAAGTAAATACCTAATATAGTTTTGATTTCAGGACAGTTCTTGTATTTTTAATAATTATTTAAAGAAAGGCTAAAAAATATATATTTTTGATTTATTTATTAATATCTCTGAAACTACCGAAATATATTTACTCATGTCTTAGGATTATATAAAGTGACCTGAAAGGAAGCCAAAAATGCAATAATATACAGAGTGTTCCATTTAAACAAAATAATTCCGATCCATTCACACCTTTTTGAGCCACCCTGTTACATACATACCTACTTATAAATACTAACTGGTATGTATCTTAGGTTTGCACTTCTCAAAAATATCAAGTTTATTATTCTAGCAGCTGCAGATGCCGGACGCACTATTGCCGGCCCTATAGAATATAATTTAATAAACAAGAGTTATTCTAATATTTTAAGAAATAAAGTAAGAAATATAAATAAAATTGCAGCTGAGAGATTTATTATTAATACCAGAATCGGTTGTTGAAATTTTGATGCTATTTTTAGAATACATACCTACTTTGAAAAAAAAATAAAGAATCGAGACTGGTACTCGATTAGTACAAGACTAAGCGCAGCAGATAACACACAGATAATGGAAAACAAGCGAGTATGACCATCTGGTACAGAATAAGCTGTGCCTATGTATTTCTCATAAATAAACGGAAATGCATAACTAACATTGTTCATCGGGAAAGATACTAATTCTTGACAGGCAGCAGGCTGAGGACTAGAAACGAACATTTCTAATTCTTATATCGCGTTTTTGCTAATCAACGAAAAATCAACAAATACCATACGATCGAAAATGGCGTCAAAAATTGTTCGAGAATAACAACCGATAATAAGTTTGGCGAGGTCAAACCCTAGACGTCATTACTTAGCCCGTGCTCTGCTTTATTTTCTAATGGCGCTTGCTGCCATTAAAAAATAAAGCTTTAAGATGGTTGTAATTTATTTTTATAATGAGTAAAAATGATTTTAAACGGTGTAGTTTCAAATTCGAGAAAAAATATATCTACCTACACTAAGATGCAAAAAAAAATGCAACGGAGAAATTTTTGGTAAAATTTAAAATGTTACATTTTTGTTATTTTTAGTCCTATTTTCGTAATTTTTTTAGCAAGCTGTATATAATTATGTCAACTTTAATTCGTAAACTCAGTTTTTTATAAACGTTAGTATTTGGTATATTTTACAGGGTTAATCGAGGTTTTTTTCATTTACCTTAACTTTAAAACACCTTGTGCAATAATTTCGTTTATAAATTTTCCTAAAATATAATTTTACGGTCAGAGCCATGTCTCCTGAGCATTTTGTTTTTTGGATCATGTCAATACATGCCTTCGTTAATTTTTAAGAGCAAAATGAACTTGCCACCAACAATATGCAATTTTTTCAATTATCATGTCTTTTTGAAGTTATTTTTTTCGGCGGCTTTGGTGATTGTTGTGAACTATATACTACTATGAACTGCACATCATGTTCGACATTTGGGAAATGCTTGGCACGAGGGTTAGAAGTCGCGAAGCGGTACCAGCATCCTTAAATGAACTTAGCTTGGTCCTTACAGAAGAATGGGAAAACATAAAGCTATAGGTATGATATATGCAGCCTCAATGACAGTATGAATGGACATATACAGGCAGTTATAGCATCCAAGGGGGGTAATACAAAGTATTAAGGCTTTTTTTTCTGTTTGTATACTTGAGAATTACAGATGTTTTTTTTAATATCGTTGGTTCTGTTATCTTTATTAAAACCAGGACTGTATCTTTATAAGGTTTTTTTTTAAATTTAGTATAGAGTATCCAATGCAGCGTAATATGACGTTAAGACAATAGTCACCAAATCTATCTCGTCATATTAAAAAATTACATCAAAATGTAGTGATAATTGAAAAAATTGCAAATTGATCGTGATCAGTTCATTGTTCATTTCTCTCTAAAAGAATAACCAAGGCATGTATTGACATGATTCAAAAAACAAAATACTCAGGAGTGATAGTTCTGACCGTAAAATGATATTTTAGGAAAATTTACATACCAAAATATTGCACAGGGTGTTTTAAAGTCAGGGTAAAAAAACAACCCCTCGATTAACCCTGTATAATATACCAAATACTAAAGTTTATAAAACACTGAGTTTATGAATTAAAGTTCATATAATTATATACAGTTTGCTAAAAAATTCATGAAAATAGGGCTAAAAATAACAAAAATATAACACTTTATATTTGACCACAAATTTCTCCGTTGCGAGTGTATTTTTTTGGAAATAGATTTTTGTGTCTTGAAACGTTCTATCCTTTTTTAATATTTCTACAATTAGTGTTAATTTTGACAAATATGTCAATTTTTTTAGTAAATGACGTCTAGAGATTGACCTCGCCAAAATGTTATTCATCCGATTGTAATTTTAGCAGGCCCAGCCGTCTTTGACGCCGGTTTTTTCGATCATACGGTACATATATAAGAGTTTAAAAATTAAATATTTTATGCTCTGCTGAACTCCTTATAATTTATTCTTATTTTATTGATCTCAGAAATTTAAAATAGACAGTTTCATATTAAGTGCATTTTATATAAAATATCCCCTTTATTATTAACAATAATTTGTCAAAAAAATGTTTTTGAAGTACTTACAAATAGGTATATGCTCTTGTTCAGATATATGACCGTTCTAGAACTTGTACTAATTGCTACATTCGCGGAACTACACATCTTTTGTAATATAACACAATGAACTAATTAAGCATGCCATGTCATTTATTTGTCCAGCACTCGTTAATACTTCCTGTTTGATCACAAAAAATGCTTTTAGTTTATTAATTTTTGTAATACTGCATACACTAGGTTGTTCACTCATGTGTTTCAATCTAGTTAGCAATTCTATAGTCTATAGAAATTATTATATAGATAAAGAAATTATATGTATAAAGATGTATTGTTCTAAAAATACAATAACTAGTTTACTTAACTGCATGTATAATCAAAGTTATTAGAAACTAAAATTTTCAATTATTGATATTTTAATGTGTATAAAGTTCTACCAATTTAAGATTTAGTGTAACTTACATTGAAATTGATTAATATAGCAATAAATTATTGTTTTATTGATTTGTATTTAGAACTTTCAGATACCTGATTCTCTACATAATTTATTTTAATTTCTTCAATCGCAATTGAAACTGATATGCTATTTTGTTCAGGGTGTCATTTTCTATCGAATAAAATAAAAAAATACCGAGGGTATCATTTAAAAATCAAAAGTTGTAATCATTTCCGATAAAACAGGAAGTGATGGAAACGAATTGAATACGTCAATCAATCCTAATTTATGTCATATGCTAACATACCAAATCTTGTTTTTTATCAGAAAAAAATAAAAAGTTATAGAGACGAACCACTTTGGAGAAACACCCGGTATATTATGATCTTGACCATAGAAAATAATACCTAAATAAAATCAGAGAAAAAAATCAATCTCAGTTTACTATAAAATGCATTCAATGGACCACAAAATTACGTTCGCAACAAACTCGCAAATAGAAGGTTATCACGTTCCTAGTTTACAAAATCACAATCGCAGCAAAATCGCAACTCGTAACAAAATTACAACTCGCACCTATATTAATATTGGTTGCCTAAATTGAAACTCACTAATAGAAGAAATCGCAGTCGCAGTTTCTAGGGAGAGCGCCCACCACGGCAATAATATGGCAATAGCTACTATGGCAATAGCGTTGCATGATTTTTCAGGAAGCGCACATATAAGTGTAGTGGCAGTGACGTAAAAATGTCGTCCTCAGAGGACGAAGATTTCCTAGCAGTTGTAAACCTATCTATATGAACCAAAATTATCCACAGATGGTCTATTGGATACACCCCTTTAAAAAAAAAGACAAAGAAATAGTGGATTTAGTATTTTTATCTACGTCAGTGAGTTAAAAAGCTCTTAACTCACGCATTTTCATTACAGCACTCCTTGTTTAAATGACTACCAAAAAGAAAAAAAATATTTTGTAAACTGGAAAAATATGTTATGAGTACCTTTTCATTTCCATAGTTGTGTACTTTTTTTTTCGGTGCACCTTTTTCATACTTAGAGTATGTATATTCATATTTTTGTTTCGATCTTGCTGGAAGCAATCCAGAAATGGCTCTGAATGCCTCTTCTTCAGTGTCAGAGGGAATACTTTCCGAATCGCTCATTTTTTAAACTAGTGACGTCAGTATTATTTACTGTCATATTGACATTGCCATGCATGGTGTTATTTGAACAAAGGTATCAGGGAGAGCGCCCACCAAAGTGACGTAGCACATACATGGTATGACGTTGCACACACATGGCGATGATATGGCAATACTGTTGCATGATTTTTCAGGAAGCGCACATATAAGTGATGTGGCAGTGGCGTAAACATGTCGTCCTCAGTGGATGAAAATTTGTTAGCAGTTGTAAACCTAATCAATATGAACCAAAATTATCCAAAGCGTCGCTATTGGAAACACCCCTTTTAGAAAATTAGACAAAGGAATAGTGGATTTAGTATTTTTAAGAAATTGAATATGTATCCAAAAAGATTTCAATCATTTTATAGAATGAAAAAAGAAACCTTTGATGTGCTAGTTAGAAAAGCCTCAATCAATGATACAAAACGTATATTGATCCATATCGTCATTCATTTTTACTAAATTCGAGTAACATGTTAATAGCACGTGGCGAAAAGTAGAACCAGATCTATTTTAGAAGCAGTGGCATGGCATGCTACAACGACAAATGACCCGTTTCTGACAGTGCTACTTCTGTGTGCGCTGACACACTTATTGTCGTTTGTTCAATTCGACGTAACTTGCTAGATACATGTTATTATGTGCCACGTCAGATGCTACGTCACTTTGGTGGGCGCTCTCACTTAAGGTAATTGATTTTTAGGATAGGTATATAGTTAAGAATAATAATTTTTAAAATTCATTGTGTGTTTTTATAGTTAGACGTAGATAAAATATTGCACAATACACATAACTCGTGCTACGCACTCGTTGTGCAACTTTCACACGCGTATCTTAATAATGCTGTTAACTCACTTGTATCGTAAATATCTACTAAGGAATTAAATATGTATCGAGAAAGATTTCAAGCATTTTATAGAATGAAAAAATAAACCTTTAGGGGGAGCGCCCACCAAAGTGACGTAACATATGACGTTGCACATACATGGCAATGATATGGCAATAGCTAGCGTTGCATGATTTTTCAGAAAGTGTACATATAAGTGATGTGGCAGTGGCGTAAACATGTCGTCTTCAGAGGATGAAGATTTGGTAGCAGTTGTAAACCTAATTAATATGAACCAAAATTATCCAAAGCGTCGCTATTGGATACACCCCATTTACAAAAAGAGACAAAGGAACAGTGGATTTAGTGTTTTTCAGGAATTGAATATCTATCCTGAAAAATTTCAAGCATTTTATAGAATGGAAAAAGAAACCTTTGGTGTGCTGGTTAGAAAAGTTATTCCCATGCCAAGTCTTGTTTATTCCTGTTGGAATAATCGGCAAGAGTGTGGTCATAAATGCATGGTTTAGTCTCAATCAGTGATATAAAATCTATATTGAAGTCCGGATCGTCCTTCATTTTTGCCAAATTCGAGAAACGTGTTAATAGCACGTGGCGAAAAGTAGAACCAGTTCTATTTTTTACAGGGTTACTATATTAAACAGGTTTCCTCGTTTTGGAAATAAGAACGAAGCTGCAACTACGTCAGAGAGATGCTACAGAACGTATAAAATCATAGATCAAGGAAAAAAAACTACAACCGACAAAGAGAGATAAATGGGCAATACCGAGGGCGATACAATAAAGAAAACACAAACATCAAACAATGGCTATCGATTCGGAAATGCACTGTCGGACTGTCGGCAGTTTTTATCCTTTTATCTATGAGTGGCATTCCTATGACGTAGTAGATGACGTTTCCGATAATGGCGGATCGAGTTACGAGACAACCTTATATCTGTGCTTATATTTTATAACCTTGTACGTAACTTGCTAGATACATGTTACTTGCCAGATCACGTGCCACGTCAGATGCTACGTCATTGGCACGACTGAACGACTCGACTGACGACTACGATTTTTTGCAGTCGTAGTCGCGATACCAATCGCAGGTTGCGATTGCGATTTTAAAATCGCTGCAATTGAATCGCAGTTTGCGATTTGTGGCTCATCTCTAATAAAAATGTATTTTTCTAAGAATACAATAACCAATTTACTTAACTGCATGTATACTTAAATTCATTAGAAACTATTTTTTATTATTTGTTATATCAATAACTTAAGATTTATTGTAACCTACATTCAAATTGATTAGTATACAGGGTGGTCCGAATTGTATTCCGGAAACTTCGGCAGCATATTCTGCACATAAAAATAAGTAAAATTTGTCGTATGTCCAAAATGCTTAGTTTCGGAGATACAGGGTGTAGAAGTTTCATTTTTATTTGGATTTTTTCCAAATACTTTCTGCAGTAACGTCACTATTTGGATTAAAATTGGTGTCTGCGAGTTTTTTTTGGCATGAGAAATTTGATTTTGATGTCAATATGACTCCTACTAGTAGAGGGCGTCACCTACATATCTTTTAACTGGTTTGAAGAGTAATAACTTTTCGTCCGTACCTGTATAAAACTACTGAGTAAAAAAATATACATTTACGACGTTTTTTACGTAAAAAAGGTCTCTTGGTAAAAATCGCTACGAGTAATGGTTTTTGAGATATTTGGAATCGCACTTATCAATACCTGTCATCACTGACATAAATTAAACATGTTGACTATAAATAGTTATTAGACTGAGATCATAAATTTGAAATATTTTTGTACCAAAAGTTCAACAAAAACTGTTTTATCATCATTTATTTGCAGAAAGAATATGATTAATTTAAAAAAATAAAAAATTCCCAAATTTATTATTTCAGTGAAATAACTATCTACTCAACGTGTTTATTTTTCGTTAATAATGGCATGTATTGACTATTTCCATTCTAAATATCTTGAGAACGGTTGCTCGTAACGATTTTTACAAAGAGATATTTTTTACGTAAAAAATCACAGAGATGTATATTTTTTCCCTCTGTAGTTTTATATAGTTACAGACAAAAAGTTATTACGCTTCAAAACAGTTAAAACACATGTAGGTGGCGCCCTCTACCAGTAGGAGTCATATTGACACCAAAATCAAATTTCTCATGTCAAAAAACTCCCAAACAAAAATTTTCATCTAAATATTGATGTTACTTCAGAAATTATTTGGAAAAAATTGAAATAAAAATGAAATTTCTACACCCTGTATCTCCGAAACTAAGCATTTTAGGACATACATTTATACGAACTTTTTTACCTATTTTTATCTGCAAAATATGCTGCCGAAGTTTCCGGAATACAATTCGGACCACCCTGTATATAGCAATAAATTGTTTTATTGATTTGTATTTAAAACTTCCAGATAGGTACCTAATTCATAATTTATTTTAATGGCATCAGTAACGGAGTGAGTGAGATATACCGTGTTATCAAAAAGAAATAAAAAAATCGAGTAATAAGTATGTATTTTGAAAAACTCATTTTTAAAGAATATATTTCCTGATGAAAGGTTATCGTATTTGATAACTTTATATTTTTTTAACTATTTGAATACTGCTAATATTTGATCAGTTCTACCATCAATATGTGTAGTATCACAAACTAACTTTAGGTTAGTCTGTGCTAGTATGTATTATAGTAAATGACATTCTAAAAAAAAATTCTCTATATGTGGATAAAAATATGTATTCTAAAAGTACTTGAGTGACTATTTACTTTGTGAAATAAAATTAAAAAGAAATGCGGTTTACTTAGAAAAAATTAATTAATACTTTTTGAAGTAACAATACCTTATAAAATAGCACGCAGAACAAGAGTGGTAAAAGCACAGGTAAAACTAACCAATTTTAGTTGAAGCAACAATATTTTTACTTGAACAAGGTAAGGTTTATAACCAAAGAAAATTAAATGTTTTATGAAAACTTTAAATACTTAAGATAAACATAATCTTTTTTATATAATAGATAAAAAACGCTTATAAAATTAGTATTTAGTCCACTAGAAAATTATTCTTCTTTTAAAAGTAGTTAAATGTTTTACAACAGAGGGCAAAATATTATGTTTTTATAATATAAAGGAATATACCTATAGTATAGGTGCTATGTATTATATTAATTATAAAAAGCATTTGGTTGGCTTTTTTTTAAACCAGGAGTTATTTAGACTTCAAAAATTATGTTTTTTGAATAAAATTATATAATCTTATCTGTGATCATATAATAAGCAGCCATTTTTCTTATTTAAAAGAAAAAAAATACATAAATTAAACCTTAATTTCTTGAGGACTATTCAAATTCTCCTTATAAAAACATATATAAAATAGTATATATTTACTTAAGTATATTTTATTGTATTGCCTTATCAATTAAGAGAGAGAGCAATGTAAATAGTAATTAAAAAAATATACATCGTTGCGCGTATTTAGAGGGGATATTATTTCTTTAATATTACGGCCAATTATTGTAATTTAAAAACTACTGTGACTCCATTTTATTTAATCGTATGGTATATCACTTAAATACCGAATTTTTATATCACCTTTGAAGAAAAAAAAACCGTTCTATTTTTTGGTATGTTTTCGAACGGAATTCTTATTTAAATAAATAGTTACTTAGGAATCTGTTTTATTTTCAAACAAGGCATCTAACTAACTTTATTTTAAGTAGTTTTCACCACACATACAGGATGTTTCAAAAAATATGTGCCATTTCTCGTGGGGATTCAGATTTGTTTCGTAGCTACCGGGTGTTAAAATCTTAATATTTTTTCGATTTCTTATAATTTTCTTCCAAATACTTTTAGCGTTTCGAATAAAATTTTGAGGGTAAATGTTACTATAGATGCGACATATTTTAAAGCTACAAAAGTGTCGACTTATTCATCAGGGAGGTGCATATGGGTTATAACTGTAATATTTTTCTAGAAAAAAGCATGTACGCCACTGATTTTTTTTTGTTAGAGAAATAGTGTTAGCAGTTTAATGCCGATTAAAAGTTGTCTCTTGTTATTTTGTCGATTTCGGCCTTCTTGATGAGATAAACGCAATTTTATTACTTTGCCTTGATTCTAGTCTAATGGCAACCTTTAAAAAATGTTAATATCATTAACTTGCCAAAGTTTTAAATAAGTACTCATTGATTTCTCATCAAAAAAGATAAATAAATATTCCTATAAACATGGGTATAGAATTGCACAGTTTTAGAGTTACAGGTTGTTAACATTTTTTAAAATTGTGTTTTTGTAATTATCTTAAATACGATTAGTTTTCTTATTTGAAATTACTGTAGGTTGGACAAATAGTAATAATATATAGCAATAATATTTAATAATAAATTAAGTAAAATATATAATTTATTAATTTTATTTTTATTTTTATTTTATTAATTGTGATTAATAAAACTTTATTTAATATACGATGCAGAATTCGGCCAAATGTCAAGAGATAACTTTTAATTGGCATTAAACGGCCTACATAATTTTGATATCAAAAGAAAAAAGGCAGTGGCGCACATGTTTTTTTTGAAAATATTCCAGTGATAACCCGTTTGCACGTCTCTGATGAATTTTTCCACACTTTTTTACCATTAAAATGTGTAGCACTTATAGTGACTTTTACCCTCAAAATTTCATTCGAATCACTAAAAGTACTTGGAAGAAAATTATAATAATAAATCGAAACCCTGTAGCTACGAAACAAAGCAGAATCGGACCTATGTTGATATGAATAATAAATCTTATTTTTACGTGAGGAATCTCCCCGCGATAGATAGCACATGTTTTTCGAAACACCCTGTATATTAGAAATTTAAATATGTAGTATTGTAAAATAAGTTTTAGAATATAGACTACCCAAATTGCAAAAAAATACATTTTAAATTATATTTTTAAACGAAAGTCGCACTTAATTGTCAATTATCTTAATTTTACTTTAATTTTTAGATAAAAAGATATAGAATACAGAATATATAGAACAGATATAGTCATTGTATTTTTGATAGGGAAATTACATAGTATTCTAAGAAGTAATTCACTCCAGACTATTTTCAAATACTCCGATTCTTTTTCAGATAATAAATGAATTAGAAATTTTAAAAAAATATATGACTACATATTTCGGTACTACTTACATGAAATGTCACAAATTTCTATAAATGTTTAGTATATTTACCATTTCCGGTAGGCCGTTTTTCTTTAATTTGAACTGTCAACTGATTTTCATTGAGGGCTTTCCACACCGCACTGCAGTTTTCCGACTGACGACGAAAATCGGGTCGATTTTCCACTGGTGGAAAACATGCGCAGACTAGGAATGGGCGAAAAATACATCGATTGTTTTGAAAGTTGAAATCAAACCACACTCACAGGCAGGAAAAACGGACACCTTAAAATTTCGATGTATTTTGAAGTTTTACATATTTATATTATGTATTGTGTTCCTGGACTGTGAACCGATTGCGATAATTTTTAAGCAATTTGTAGCTAAATTATTTGATTTTTTAGCATCTCTTTCTAAATTAAAAATGAAAGTTCCCATGTATTAATTATACGAGGGAAAACAAAATGTTAATTTTTGGTGGCAGTTTTAAACACTCTGTGGAATATGTTAATAAAGCAAGGAATTTAAAAATTATTTTATCACCTAGGTGCATCTTTTTTCGATAGTTTAATATTTGGTTCATATCAATTTAGCTTCATTTTTTGTATCTAGATATTTGCTTCTGAAGAAAACACTGACATTTTTTCGTCATTTTTGCAATAAAAAAATTGAATTTTATTTAACAGCAACAATCAAATTTAAATTTTGATATTGACAGATGTCCGTCAATAAAATTATAACCCCAAATCAAAGGACAATGACAATTACTAAAAGGAAGTTTTGACGTTGATGGCTGTCCGTCAATAAAATTATCAACCGAAATCAAATGACAATGACATTTAGTATTAAGAATATGCAGTAATTTACGAAATGCTGTAATGACGTCGCCAATCTCTTTCATTTGGTTGGCAAGTGATTGTGATTTATTCAAAAGATTGTAAGAGTTCGACAATATATGTTTTGAACTTTGACTAAACATTCTATACTACAACAGACGCATTCTATACTACTCAAAAACTAATAATAAATGGACTACTCAAAAACAGATGACCAGCGAGTGCTGAGTAAGCTGTGGTTTTATAAACAGTTCAATGGGGTTGAGAACTCCTGTGACAACATAACAAGCGAATATCTAAGTATTGTAATAGCAAAACATTTTTTGGTTCACGTCATCAATCATATCGACATTGATATTAAAGTGTATAAACCTGACTAAATGAAATTTTGGCAAAAATGTTTAAATTTGTTGTATAATTTAAGATACCGAGCAGATCTTCATTTTACTTTATAGAGTAAATGATAGTAACAGATATTTTATTTAGATTAAAGCTGCAAAAATTAGTTTAAACCGAATTTTATTATCGCTATGTTGGTCACATTGCGCCGTGTTCACCAATGTTGTCCTTTATTATTTGACAATTATCCTAATGTCAGTCATTATTTTGTATAATATCGTGTTGTGGTTGAATCTTTGTGAGCAATTCTCGTTTTTTTGCCTATTTTCGTTGTCTTTTTAAAAATTGCACTTTTATGAACAAACAGTTCTTTTAAGAACTAAATTTTCTAGTTTTTGTATTGCATTTCTTGAAATTGTCTGTTGAAAATATGCCGAAACATTTATACAATCGAAGTAAAGAGCTTGTAGCTTCCCTGATAAACAATTTGAACGAGAACGTGACAGTAAAGGTCGTTATTACAATTGACTGCAGTCACACACACACACACACAGAGAAGTAAAGTTTGATTGATAAGCAAAGTTAGTTTTTATTAAATTCTGTGATTATTAGTTTGTGCATTAATAGCACCCTCTTACTTGTTATTACCACTTATGGCGTTGTAAGATGTACATCAATAAATAAATAACCCACAATAACTCTTATAATAATCTTCATAATGGACTAGTTTTTACCAGTATGTTATAAGTAAAATAAGCTATAAAACAAATTTAAAAATAAAACGTAAAACTCTCTAAGAAATGATATAATATTATATTGTTTGTCAATTTTAAATTAAGATTCATCTCATAAATCCATCACAATCTGGCAGCACTGTTGCCATCGCTTGTCACTCAAAGTTGATCACGTGCATCGGAAATTGTTTTGCTTGCTTATTTTTGATTACCATAGGATGATACCACATACTATACGCAGAATGATATCATATACCATGTAAATGATAAATGATAGAAAGTCGACAGGCTTGGTGTGAATAGGCTGTGAACACGTGTTCAGGGGAATAATCGTAATAGTATACGAACTTTTGGATAGCTGGTGAGTAGTGAATAAGTTCTGAGATTAAACACATAGCACCTTTTTAAAGTAAAAAGTCCTAGTTTTTTATTAACTCACCGGCAAAAAAAACCGGCCACCAAAAACTAGTCCCATTTTCAAAGTTGGATTTCTCGCGAACCACTCATTAGATTTTGATGATTTTTTTTAAATTGTAAATTAATTCCTTCTTAACGGATGCTACGTCAGAAATTTTCATTCTGAATTTATTTTGAGCAGATATACAGGGCACAACAATAAGACGAAATTTTTTTGCCCGAACTTTGTAACACCCTGTACGGTGCGGCAGCTGTAGTAGCTATTGCTAGATCAAATCAGCCTCATTTTTTGTGAGCATTTTGTTTTTTTAATCACGACATTATCTCTGTTTGTATTGGAGATACGCTGCTCTAAAACGAACGTCTCGAAAAAATGCTTCGCAGACAGAAAGTTTTATGTGTAAATAATCAAGGAGACATCATTGTCGAATTAAGAAATGCCATTATCTGTGACGGATGTTGATCGTATTGTGGCTTTAATCGAGGATGGCCAAAGTCGACGTTATGTGTCCGCTACCCTGGGTATACCACGAACAACAGTCCAGGATGCCTGGAATCGGTATATGGAAACAGGAAATTTCACCAGCGAGTGGGTTCCGGATCAAAACGGAATACAAATGCAATTGATGGCCGCTTTATTGCCCTGAATACTTTACGAAATCGTAGAGTTGCAGAGTTTCAGAATCAACATCTGCGTAGAACTCAAGTCAGTGCGAGAACAATCCGACGAAGACTAAAAGAAAACAGCTTGTCTGCAAGGAGGCCTGCCACAGGACACCAGCCACTTCCAAGACATCGTCGAGCACGTACTCAGTTTGCGCGTTTACATGTGAATTGGGATATTGAGCAATGGACTAAAGTCCTTTTCACGGATGAACAGCGGTTTTGTCTGCGAAGCATTTTTCCGAGACGTTCGTTTTAAAGCAGCGTATCTCCAATACAAATAGAGATAATGTCGTGATTAAAAAAACAAAATGCTCACAAATAATGAGGCTACAATGTGATTTGATTTAGCAATAGCTACTACAGCTGCTGCACACTACAGGGTGTTACAAAGTTCGGACAAAAAACTTCGTCTTATTGTTGTGCCGTGTATATGCTCAAAATAAATTCTGAATAAACATTTCTAACGTAGCATCTGTTAAGAAGGAATTAATTTACAATTTAAAAGAAAATCATCAAAATCTAATGAGTGGTTCGCGAGAAATCCAACTTTGAAAGTGAGACTAGTTTTTAGTGGCCGTTTTTTTTTGCCGGTGAGTGTATCATCTGCTGAAATTACTTATCCATTTTGATAAAAAATGTACCGCAAAATAAAACACTAAATCACCACAATACACCAATACACTTTTACTTTTGTACTAGACACGCGTTTCGCTAACCATGTTAGCATCATCAGCAGATGATTAAAACTCATGTGCATATTTCAGTTTTCCCAACTGTAATAAAAAAGAGTACCATCGGTAGTACCCTCTACCCCAATGGAAAATATCCTTTCAGGACTATTACGGATTTTTATACTAACACTATTCGCTCTGGCATTAAAATATGTATAAAAGTAGGTACCAAATATGAAGAAAAACGGGTTACCAATGTTGTTATAAATAAATAAAGTATATAATTTTTATTTGCCATTTTAGTTGCTGTAACTTCCTCCGGAAGTATTTTAGGACATATGTTCATAGAAACTTTTTATTTTATTTTTATCTGTAGAATCATCCACAAAAGTTAGATACACTATATTTTGCCACCTTGTACAGGGTGTGTCATTTAAAAAACTTGTTTTTTTTTAACAAAATCAAATTTAAATTGCATAATATCTCAATCTTCCCTAAAACTTTTTCTACAACATTTCTTCATAATTTTCCGACTCTTTTTAATTTCTAGAAGTAAATACATTATCATTAGATCTGTCTCTATCTACTCATTCTCATTCTATATCTATCAGATTTATTTAATATATTGTAAGATTGTAATCGATATTTGTAATGCATCGATGTATATTGAACATCCTTAGCATAAACTGACTCCTCTCTTGAGAGCGATTATATGGACAAGATACATAAATATAAAGTGTTTTTGAACAACAGTCAAGTATAATTTTCTTTAGGTTTTTATCGATTTTTTCGGTCGATTATCAAAGATAGTTCGTAGACGAGTTTGAAGCACGTCTGTGTCTTTTCTTTATATAGTTAGTCGTATTATTAGTAAAGCGCAGAGATGAACAGCTAAAATTAAAGCGTTATGCACAAAAATAAAATATGTCATGTTATTCTTAGACCAGTATTAGTTATTTTGGTCACTATTAAATTATTATAGCGAAACAATAAAACAAAATTTAATAAATTACTTCGGCATGCGTTTTATCTATACAAGAACCCTCTTTTTATATCTTAAATGAGTACGATATATAGGGTTTATCAGCTCATTCGACACGGAGTATTTGTAGCCACACGATTAGATTTTTAGAGTGGTTTTTTGTTAGTGGTTGAGGACTACTAACGCTACAATTTAAAATTATTTTCAAACGGTACAGAGTATCACAAATAAATAAAAAATATTAAACTTGTATTTTTTAAATGGAACACCCTGTATATTATTACATTTAATTTTTTTTTCTACGATTAAAATACAGGTCAGTTTAATCCTTGTTTATTAAAAATTCACATACAAGGATTTAATTAAGGTTTACCGCACTTTAATCTGACCGTTTTTGAAATATTTACGATTTTGTGAAAATACAGTTACAGTTTTAATGCTTCATTCCTCCAGACGTATTAAGTTTTTAAAACCAAGTATTGTTCTGTTTA